CTAAATTTATTCCAGGAAATGAAAATGAGGGTTTGTTTTTTGTTTTTTTTATCAGTCCTGGGGTTTGAACTTAGGGCCTGAGCACTGAGCTTCTTTTGCTCAAGACTAACAGTCTAGCACTTGACCCACAGCGCCACTTCTGGCCTTTTCTGATTATGTGGTACTGAGGAATCAAACCCAGGGCTTCATGCATGCTAAGCAAGCATTCCCAGCTGGAGGTTTTTTTCTGTGTTATCTGTCTTTGGAAGAATAAGGAGGTAGGGTGAGGAGGCACAGAAATGGAGGACAAAGGGTAAAAAATGTAGCAGTGGTACTCACTAGACACTCTATGGAAAATGAACTGTACATCTTGTGGGTGGAGACGGGAGGGAAAAAGTGGGAGAGAATGAAGGAAGGGGTAGCATTGTCCAAAAAGAAATGTACTCTTTACCTGACTTGTTAACTGTAACCTTTCTGTATACCACCTTTATAATTGTGTGTGTGTGTGGGGGGGGGGGAGGCAAGATAAAAAGGGAAACATTTTTTCCTTCACAAAATGTAAAGTGCCAGATTGTTTATATTTAGATTATATAATTATAATTTTATTCCTGTGGTTTTTTTTCTTGGAACTACTTGATAACAGTCATTTTTTGTAGGTGAACCTCCAGAGGCTCCGCAGACACCCCGCTGTAGCCTGAAGGAGATCACCAATGTCCCCTTACATCCTGTAGTCAAAACCAGGAGACTTTCTCTTTCTCCAAAACGGAATACAGAAAGCACAGCACAACCTCTTCCTAAGCGCAGGTGTGCCACCATGGTGAGCTACAAGGAACCAACATTAGCTTCGTAAGTATATGGTTTGGGGAGGACCTGTCCAAAATGAGTGATGAGTCCTAGATTAAGCTTTAAAGTTTGATTAAAAGAAACAGCCAGGGATTGATGGCTCACACCAGTAATCCTAGCTACAAGGCAGATATCTGAGGATCCCAGTCTGAAGCCAGCCCAGATAGGAAAGCCTGTGAGACTTTTATCTCGTTAGTCAGCTAAAAGCCATGTGTGGATGTATGGATCAAATGGTAAAGCACCAGCCTTGAGCAGTAAAGCCAAGCAAAAACATGAGGTCCTGAGTTCAAGCTTCAGTACTGGCATATACAGAAAAGGAAGAACACTAAAATTGGTAGTTTTGATAACACTTTATAATGAGTTAACACAGGATACTTGGAATTAACATCTTTTTAACCCTTGTAGGAAACTAAGAAGAGGGGATCCTTTTACAGATTTGTGTTTCTTGAATTCGCCCATCTTCAAGCAGAAAAAAGATTTGAGATGTTCTAAGAAAAGTGCGAAGCAAATACAAAAAACGTTGGATGCTATTTAAATTTATCCTCTACCCCCGTCTTTCTATTGCTTTACGTAGAGAATCTGTGAAGTAGTGCACAGGTGGATAGAACAGAATATTTGAATATTTTGTTAACAAGACACTAAATCATGAAGATGTCTTCAAAACAATACTTTTTAATTGTTTAGAATTCTTGTGCTATTTACTTCAAAACAGCTGTGTTTTACAAAATTACATTCATCTGCCTATTTTTTCCTAAAGGCATAGGCTGATAAGTATACTATAGTAAAGAACTTTGTAAGATGAGAATCTTTTGAAACTCCTTATGTAATTTTTGAATAGAAAAAAAAAATCCATGGTACTCCCAGGTAAAGTTTTGTGGATCCCTTATGTGCCGCTATTGGGTTTGTTTTATCTTGGTTTTTTTTTGTCCAAGATATTGCTGTGTAGTCCAGGCTAGCCTCAAACTTAAAATTGTCCTGTGTCAGCCTCCTAGGTGGGGATTTCAGGCATGTGCCACCAAGCCTAGCACCACTGTTGCATGTAAGTTTTCAGATAATACATTTGTAGGATCATGATTAGAGAATCACTGGTTATTTAGGTTCAGTGACTGATAAGTGACTGGTTATGAGCCCTAAGTGTATGTTGTTCAATGATTGCTTGGCAAAATCACAAGTTACAGACTTTTAGAAAAGCTCTTTAGTCAGACATCTTAGATGTGTGAATATTAAGGACTATTTTTAATCAGCCAATGAGAATTAATTTAGAAATTTTAACATGTATACTTATATATACCCTTTTAAACTTCAAATCACTAAAAGGATCAAAAGCCGTGGGCGCTGGAGGTTCAGACCTGTAATCCTAGCTACTCAGGAGGCTGCGATCTGAGGATCAAGGTTCAAAGCCAGCCTGGGCAGCAAAGTCCATGAGACTTATTTCTAATAAACCACCAGAAAACCCAAAGAGGCGCTGTGGCTCAAGTGGTAGTGTTAGCCTTAAGCTGAAGAGCTTTAAAAATTTTTTTTGTCTAAATGTACAAGATGGCCATTCTTAATGTGTTACAAGTCTGCATTCTATCACTGATCCTTACTTCCTATTGCCCTAGTCTCTCACCAATCTTATTCTTACGATTTTCCTTCCTCCCTTCCTTTCCTTTCTTTTTGCCAGTCTTAAGGTTTGAACTCTAGCATTGGGCATTGTCTTTGAGTTTCTTTGCCTCAAGGCTAGGGTTCTACCATTTGAGCCATAGGCACCACTTCCAGCTTTTTTTGACTAGTTTATTGGAGATAAGAATCTCATGGACTTTCTTGCCCCTGAAGACTTCAAACTATGATCTTCAGAGCTCAGTCTCCTGAGTAGCTTGGATTATTGGAGCCACTGGTGCCTGGCTTCCTTACAGGTTTCAACCGCTGCTTTTATACCTATTCTTTAATTTCATAAAAATGAACTGCAGAGAGGCTACCCAGCAACTGAGGGGGGGTACGGCAAAAGGATCATGACTTGAAGCCAGACTGGGCTAGACCCTGTCGTTAAGAGATTGCCATTTCTTGCTCCACACCATTGATTGTTTGCATTTTACTGTTTCAAAACTCCCTGATGTAGCTTTGATTCTCACCCTCTTTCAGACCTAGTCAACCATTTCTGAAAAACCCCTGGTAGATTTTGTACTTTCAGTGTTGTGTGTATATCTGTAGTGTTAAGTATTGTCTTGTGTTTCAACATTTTATATGAATTACACTGTATATATTACCTTCTGTGGCCTTAATCTGTTTTTGAGGGTTGTCCATGCTGGTAGATGTATTTTCATATTTGTATACTATTATGTAAATAAAGCACACTTAACTGATGCATTGTCTGACAGTTTGTTGCCACTTTTTCATTGTTTACAAATTAGTGCCACAGTGAATAATCTATAGCTCTTTTGGACCTCAGTACTAAGATGCAGGTTCCTAACCTATGTTTCGTGACCTCATCTCCTAATCCCCACAGCACACCAGCTCTCACCTCACACTGATTACCTCTGATTTCCTTCCTGCTGCCTTTCTTCCACTTACATTTCTTCTCTTCATAGACTTTAACCCTAAAAGCTGGCATTTCTAATTTATAGTAGCACTATGGTTATCAAGAATGTGGAAGAAATGCCTTCTTATAATGGAGTATAAAAAACTAGAGGTACCTAAATCTCCAGCATTGTTTTTTGTAGGAAAAACAGAAAAATGTGGCTTCAATGGGGAACTCTAAGGTGAATTCACATACAGCTACACTTAAGAAATGTTGATCTTGGCATCTTGGGAATTGGTATCTAGCATCAAAATGGATGTTACAGCCTTTCCTTCATCCTGTTCAGTAATTTTTATTAGTAATAAGATTATCGGCGAGGGGTATATAGTGGTAAAACATGCAAGCATGCATGCAAGATCTGATTCCAGCCCCATCACCACAAAAAAAGTAAATAACACGGGTATGAGAAGACATTTATGTAACTTAAAGACAAACTTGTCTATGTAAAACGTAGAAGGAATGGTCAGCAGTGAATGCTACAACTACAAGGGTGGGGAAGAAGCTTTAAGAAGTTGGGTGTGATGCATGACTATAATCCCATTACTCAGGAGGATTGCAAGTGTGAGGCCAGCCCAGGATACACCTAACCAGACCCTGTCTCAAATACACATATTCACCAAAGACAAACCTTCAGATGTTAATGCCAATAACTACATGTTTCCCTATAAAATTAGTCCATATCAACTTTGTGACTTGAATTCTACTAGGTATTTACATAAAAGTATTTGTTAGTCAAAAGACTTACACGAGTGACAATAGCATCCTTACTGTAAACTGGGAGCTACCCAAATGTCCACTATGGTAGACAAGTCTTTACATTCCAATCACAGACTACTGCCAATCAGCTTCCTAAAAAAAGAATACCAGCTTGAAGGGTAATAAATCGTATGTTTATCCACAGTCCAATCTTGTTTCTACTTCTGAGTGTCTAAAATTGCAAACGTTACTGCCAAGCAAAATGAAACCTGAAAATCTTTTCACCATTTTGTTTTACTAAGTGGCCATTTAAAAGGTTTTATTGGCTGAGTAATGAACGAGGAAAATGTGTAAATGCTTAATAGATATATGGAGTAGGGATGTAAAGTAACTTCCAGAAGTTTCCTTGTATCCATCATCTAGCTTCCCACTGCCCCCTCATTCAGTCCTGCCTGGGAGACATTTGCTTAATTATGAATTAAATAGAAACAAACCTATCAAGTGGCTTTGGGTTAATAGCCCCTGCTTCCTACTCCCCATCCCTTCCTCCAGTGCTGGGGACGCCTAACACATGCTTCTACCCCCTGTGCCTGACTTTCCTGGACTTGAGCTAAGCTTAAATACAGACCCTGCCCTTCGTTGGGGTAGATGGCAGTGGTGCAGAGCTGCTGTCAACAGAGCATTCTGGGGTTCAGTGTTGAAAAGTTTACTCTCCACAGAGGAAAGAAAGTAACATTCTCCACTGCCCAGTTTCATTCATTTCATTGCTGCTGCATTCAGATTTGCACTGGAGGGGGGAAGGGGGGTCTTGAGTGTTGGGTCCTCACAAACCAGGGGAACAGAATATTTATTTCATAAGATAGGATTTTAGGTAACATTACAAGATCATATGGGAGATGTCTAAAAACCTGTATTTCTAGTAGCATCCTTCTTCATTAGAAATCTAAGACACCACTCAAGGTAGTTTCTTATACTTGGAAAAGTTGAGGCATGTTTCACTGTGAGCATTCTGAAAAATCTCCTACATCTCAAAAACAACACTTCCAACTTCATAGCCATTTTACGGGTATTTCCTTCATGCTTGCTATCTCTGTTGACTGTTTTCATTAAAAACATTCGTGACCCATTTTAATTTATGCTGATAGAAAACAAATACATTTTTAAAACCTCATCCTTTACAAAAATCAGTTTACAAATTTGCATCATAAAAATTAGTGTCAACACTGTGGAGATGGCTTCATTTGTATGGTTGTATATTAGTTGGTTTTCCCAGAGTTGGGGTATGGTAGGTGTCGCACTTTCTCTGTAGTGTAATCAGGATTAAAATGTAAGCACTAAGCTGGAATCCCAAGACAGGTTAGGGAATAGACTGTATGATGGATGGTAGTGGGATATAACCCTGAACCCAGAATAGCAATTAGGTGTTAAAATGCTGACACCACCCTCGGTGGGAATTTAATTCATCTCAGACAATAAACATAATCTGGAGATGAAGAAAAAAAAATGTTCACATACACATTTTTAATGGAGTTACACATGTCATAGAAAAGTAAAAATCCTCACTTATTAGAACAAGGATCCACCAGATTGCTTGATACACATATAGAATACATGTCTTTTTCCTATAAAGGCATGTTGTCTCGATTTCAAGTGTTTTCAACTTTATGCCTTTGTGGCTTGGGAAATTACCTTTTTTTTTTTTTTTTTGAACTTATGTCCTGCATAAGCAAAGTCAAATATGATATCTCACATTTGTGTAAAGAATTAGTAAAATAGTGGTTAAGTACTCACAAGTTTGTTGTATGTAGACAGAATTATCAAAACCCCAGATGCTTACAAAAAAAAAACAAAAAGAAAGAAAGTTTGCATTATTTAGAGTCTCTTCCTTAGGAATCAAAGCAGCTGCAGTTGAGGACCTGCAATTTTTTTCAGAACTGCTCAGAGCACCTCATCTAGATGAGTGTTTTAAAAAATATCCATGTAGAGTCTATTGTGAGACTTCAAACATCACATATTTCACCTTTTATGGGCTTTTTATCATTATTTCCTCCTTCAAGTCCTTCAGAATAAAATAAAACTACACTCTCACATTCCATTAGGAAAAAAAAAATGGACACATTCACGGTCTGAAAACCCCTGATCTTCTATCATGGAATAGTGGGCTAATGGACTTGTCATAGAAAATGTACATCCTAGCAGTAAATAGATTCAAATCTATTCCATCAAATAAAAATGTTCTATGACTTCAATTTAAATACCTATCTGAAAAGCTAACAGGAGGTTGTCTTGTTTTCTCAAAAGTGCTAATTATTACATTTACAAGTCTCTTCAAAGACATCTCCAATTCAGTTCTTTAAAATAAAACAACAACAACAACAAAAGAAAACAATAAAATGAAACCATCTTGCTTTAGGCACACTGCTGATGAGTTTCTAAGAAGCAGAGGGAAAGGAAATCACTTGTCAATTAATCCAGCCTCCTTAATTTTACTGAAGAAGAATTTCTCCAGGATATTGGCACATTTGTAGTATTCACTCTCAGGGGGGTTGTACTCTTTGCAATTGGTAAAAACTCTCTGTAAGTCTGCCATGAATAATTTCTTAGACACGTAGTACCGATTCTTGAGGCGTTCACTCATGGTTTTCAGATCTGCACAGGGAAAAAAAAATATTAACAATATTTGACTCTTATTAAGCACTAATATAAGCAAATAAGACTAACTGTGGGAAAGAATATATGTGGTTGAACAAACAGTTTTTAAATCTTACTTTATTCTTTTGAGAGGATTTTATAACAAAATCAGATCCACTTTATCATTAAAGGGACCATTATTAGTTATCTGGTTCAATCCTCCATTGAACACAAGGAAGCTAAGTAGATTATCAAGAGCTAAGTATGGTAAACAGACTGCTATTAGCTATTCATTATTTTATTATTTATACAGGGGTTCTATCTTCATCACACAGAGCAGATAGACATTTGTATTGAATCATTTAATTACTTAAAACAATTGGACTGAGTTTCCCTAAGTTCAAAGTAAATTCTCTACTAAAGTATAAAAACTAATCATTAGGTATAACTCCAAATATTTCAAGCCAGGTGTCGGTGGCTCACGCCTATAATTTTAACTACTCAGGAAGCTGAGATCTGAGGATCACGGTTCAAAGCCAGCCCCGGCAGGAACGTCCAGGAACGTCTGTGAGACTCTTATCTCTAATAAACCAACAAAAAATCGGAAGTGGCACTGTGGCTCAAGTGGTAGAGTGCTCACCTTGAGCTGAAGAGCTCAGAGACCGAGCCCAGGCCCAGAGCTCAAGCTCCATGACTAACCAAAAACAAAAACAAAAAAAATTATTTCAGTGCCAGCACATGAAACAGTAAAAAAGAAATTTTCATGTTCCATCAATTAAATAAAAATGACTAACTTCATAGTCATTTTTCTTTTTTTCTTTTTGCCAGTCCTGTAGCTTGAACTCAGGGCCTGGGCACTGTCACAGACCTTCCTTTGCTAACAGCTAGCACTCTACCATTTGAGCCACAGCACCACTTCCTGCTTTTTCTGTGTATGTGGTGCTGAGAAATCAAATTCCAAGCATGCCAGGCAAGCACTCTACCACTAAGCCACTTCCCAGCCCTCATAGTCATTTTTCTAAAGTAAATAAACTTTGCAAGACTTGTGAAATATATTTTCTCAATATATCTACTTGTTTAAATCGTATAACTTATTAGCAAATGAAGACAATGCTTGATCTCTCTCCCTTAGAATACATGGAGTTTCCTCAATCTTCATGGTGAGGACAAATTTATGCAACTCAATGCAAAATGGATACTAAGGTTTGTCTATTTAAGGGTCCTCAGGTGTCTTTAAGTCTAGCTCAATCACCAAAAACTGTAACTGTGTTAACTATACAAGTAAGTCAAAACTTCACAGCATTGTAAAAATCCAAAATTTCCACTATATTATCAAATTTTCCAGAGGAAACAAAATCTGCTACCAGATACACTAGCATTCTCTCTCTACAACTCATCACATCCTGAATGGGGAATGAATTCATTTACACCAAAAATCTCAAGCCGACTACAAAACACCAAAGGAAAAATGTGGAAAAATATGTTTCTCTTTGTCTCTTTTAATTAACGCCTATCCCTGTTAGTTCATGTCATCACATCTGTAAATTCAACTTTTAACTTTTCTTTTCTCTCTAACACAAGCAGTTTGGAGACAGAAAAAAAAATCTAAACATGTTAAGACAAACAAAGACTCAACAAATCCTCTACTAAACATCTCACCTAAGTGTGGCTGAAAGCATCAAGATGTTCTCTCATTTAAGGAAGAAAGACTAAATTTATGCCTCAAACAAAGCAACAAAACAATCACCTTATAAATATGTTAGAAACAATCGCAAGAAAGAAAAAACCACTTGTGTCCTTATCTTGAGGTTCATTTCGCCTAACATCAAGTTATCTGACCGTTTCTGCTTGTCTCAGACATATACTAGTTATTGCAAATAAGGGAAACCATGGGACCTATGTTTCTTTGGGCCTGGCTTACTTCACTTAATATAATTTTTTCCAAGTCTTTCCATTTCCTAACAAATGTGGCAATGTCATTCTTTCTGATGGAGGCATAGAATTCCATTGTGTATATATACCACATTTTCCTGATCCATTCATCTGAGGGGCACCTGGGTTGGTTCACTATATTGGCTATAGTTTTGTTGATTTGTATGTCCCTCCCCCATGGCATAACCCCTGTTTTCACTGTATTTGATGTTGGTAAAATTTGGGGAGGGGTAGGAAAAAAATTGTTTAAATAGGGATACAAGTGGACCCATTGCAACAATGAGATGTACAAAATGCTATGTTGAAAAACGAACTTTACAACTTTGGGGGAAGGTGGGGAGTATAGTCATGGAGATGGGAGAGCAGGGATGGTAAGGGAAAAACAAAGGAGGAGACAACAATGCTTGATAAGAAATGTACTCATTACCTTGCTCATGTAATTGTAACCCCTCTGTATGGTATTTTCACAATAAAAAAAACTTAATAAAAAATTATTCCTCATTAAGTAAAACCAGGTGTTTGTATTCCTTTTCCCTAAATTTCTTATCTCTTAAGATATGCTGCCCAGTAAGTTTATAATGTTTTAGAAGAAAGTAACATGTAGCCAAAACCAAAAACATAAACCAACAACTAAGTTCTGTGAAAAAAACAAACTAAAAAGGCAATTTGAAGCTAGCCTGGGCAGACAAATCCAAGAGACTCTAATCTCCAATTAACCAGCAAAAAGATGGAACTAGAGATGTGGTCAAGTGGTAGAGCACTAGCCCAGACTCAAAAAGCTAAATAAGAATGTGAGGCCCTGAGTTCAGGCATCAAAACCTACAAACCACACACATACGTACATACACATACACATACATACACACACACACACACACACACATCATTTTTTTTAAAAAAGAGAGGGAGGGAGGAAGTGGATGAGGGAAAGAGGGAGGGAAAGTACAAAGAGGGTCCAAAGCCCTTTCAAACATTTAGGTGGGGTAGGGGTGAGTGGAAAGTAAGAAGAGACTAGTAGCAGAAACAAAGCCAGAATTATAGTGGTAGTTTGACCCTCCAAAAGAATTAGAATCCATTCTGAATTACAATTCATTTTTCTATTCTAATGCTACAGATAGCATTTTTCTTTCTTTGATCCACTTACATTATTTTGATTGACTAAACACCATGGGTTAGAAAAACACTGCTGGGCTGGGAATGTGGCTTAGTGGTAGAGTGCTTGCCTAGTATGCATGAAGCCCTGGGTTCAATTCCTCAGTACCACATATACAAAAAACTGGAAGTAGTACTGTGGCTCAAGTGGTTGAGTGCTAGCCTTGAGCAAAAGCAGCTCAGGGACAGTGCCCAGGCCCTCAGTTCAAGCCCCAGGACTGGCAGGAAAAAAAAACAAAACAAAAAACACTGGCATCACCAGGCACCAGTGGCTCAGTAGGAAGTCCCTGAGATTGTTGTCTCCAATTAAGCATCTAAAAAGCCAGAAGTGAAGCTGTGACTTAAGTGCTGGAGCACTAGCCTGGAGTTAAAAAAAAAAAAAGCTCAGGGACAGTGCCAGGCTCTGAGTTCAAGGTCCAGAATTGGCATCAAGAGAGAAAGAAAAGAAGGAATGTAGGAAGGAAGGATAGTACCAAATATGGAGGTAGAATGAAATGAACTGCATTTTCAAAGGTGAGCAGGAAGACCCTGTCTAGCAATCACAGGTAGGAAGATGTCATGCTTGGCTCAGACTACTCAGGCAATTTGCAGTTTGCCACTCCCTAGGTAAAACCCATTTATAAAGATGAGAGAAAAGAGGTCGTAGAACATGGGAAAAAGAGAAGAAACCACTTTAGAAAAAAATCTTCTAAGAAAGCAATAAATAAACATAAGTGGAGAGCCAGTGGCTCACATCTAGCTACTCAGGAGGCTGAAGCTGAGATCTGAGCATCATGGGTATGAAGCCAGCCCAGGCAGAAAAGTCCCCGTGAGACTCTTATCTCCAATTAACCACCAGGAAAGGAGAAATAGAGCTGTGGCTCAAAGTGGTAGAGCGCTAGCCTTGAGTGAAAGAGCTCAGGGATAGGGCACAAGCCCTGTGTTCAAGCCCCATGACTGACAAAAAAAAAAAAAAGGATTACAAGTAAAAGAGGAACAGAAGAATCTGCTCTCATTTCAGCTAGTTCTCATCTGCACAGTACCAAGTTGATTGAATTTGGGAATTCTAAATTGATTCAACTAATTATGCATTTTAGTATAGTATAAGCACAAGTAGCAGTTTCTGCAATTCTGAATGCTTACCGTATAACTTCATAATATCCCGGAGCTTCTGTTCTCTTCACAGGTTCCATGAAGGGCCAAGCGCTTTGATGGCTCTTGAGTAAAGGAAAGAAAAGGAAGGTATCTAATATGACTGTTCCGGGTGGGAAGTCATTTCAAAACACCGGCATGAAAAAAATGAAAGCAACACCTACCTTCACCTGCTGGAGGATGCCCTTAAGCATGCTGTAAAGCTGGTCAGGGTCTTTGGGTTCTTTACTTGAAAAGAGGAAACATCAGGAGCAGAGATTAGTTCTGACCCTGCTGCCCGCTTATTTCTACGCAGCCCGGCCTCACAGAAACCCCAATACAATCCATTCCAGAACTAAGGAACAACAAACCCCAACAAGGGCTGTGGGAGACATTATAATAATCACTTGGCCCTTTTTCTCTAAGTTGCTGGAAGAGGGGAAAAAATTAAGCAACCTCCATTCACAGCCACTTACCCATCTTCCTTACCTTTTTTCTTTTCCACTTGGTTTCCAGCCTGTCTCTCCTAGGTCAAGAAAATGAAACATTAAATGAGAAATGCTTCTGGTCAAGAGAATAGCATACTTGGTAAAAGTATAATCCATTATGGCCATGCCTCGAGAAATGTCTGGGAAATCTTAAATCATCAGCATTTATTCACTTTCTTATCAAGCTCATAATACAAAACATTCCTCAAACGGGCTACTGTATGTTTTGTAAAATGGAAACTCTGGCCTTTAACTCTACCTTTCACTAGAGACAAAGATTTAGTATTATATTTTTTTAAATTCTAAGTCAAATTATTTGCTAATCACAATGTAAAATAATGAAGGTATTATTTTAGGTCAGAACAAACTCTGTGCTATTTGGTCACGGCCTGTTTGTGATGCACGATGTTTCAGTGTAGACAGAGCACAGATTTCTTCCTGCTCACTACTGAAAGGCTATCATGCCCTAAGTCACTTAATCCTCTTACATCTCGGGCTACCAAGCTATAAAATGAAATTCTAAAACTTAAGTGATATGATCCCTTTTGAAATGAGTTCATAATAAAAATAATGTAGTTCACGTCTGTAATCCTAGCTAGTCAGAAGGCTGAGATCTGAGGATTGCAGTTTTAGGCCAACCCAGGCAGCAAAATCAATGAGATTCTTATCTCCAATTACTCACCAACAACCTAGAGGTGGAGCTGTGGCCCAAGTGGTAGAGCACTAGCTTTGAGCAAAAAAGTTAAGTGACAGCTAACAGGCCCTGAATTCAAGCTCCAGTACAAGGAAGGAAGGAGGGGAGGGACAGAGGGACAGAGGGAGGGAGAGCTAGAGAAAGGAAGGAAGGAAGGAAGGAAGGAAGGAAGGGATGGAGGGAGGGAAGGAGGGAGGAATGGAGGGATAGAGGGAGGGAAGAAAGGAAGGAAGGAAGGAAGGAAGGAAGGAAGGAAGGAAGGAAGGAAGGAAGGAAGGAAGGAAGGAAGGAAGGAAGGAAGGAAAAAATACTTGGCCCAAGATCATAATAATATGATAGCTATTATACCATTAGTAGGAATAAAAATGACTATAGGTTGAGCAGTGAAAATAAGGAAAGATATAATAAGGTAATTTTATCTTTTCCAAATAACATCTTTTTTCTCTGGAGAATTTTGTCTGGTTTTGTTTAGTTTATTAAATCTTTACTAGAAGCTGGATTTGAGTCAAGTAAAAGTTCCAATGATATTCAATAGCTTTTGATGTACAAGAAATAGCTAATTGGGATGGCTCAACCAGTACAACTCATCCATTAGCTGTAATGAATCATTTAAAATTAAATGCTAACCATTCTGAGACTCAGTTTCCCCATTTGTATATGTATAGTTCTGCGGTTTTCCATGTTCCATGTTGCTAGCATCCAGTAGTGTGCTACAAATGCTAAGATCTTAATAAAGGGTAGATATTAATAGTGAAAACAAGAAGGAATTTTCATTGATTTGTTGGAGTTGAAAGAAAAAGGACATTAAAAGGGAGGCATTTGCTACCTTTACTTTGTTTGTTGATGACAAGGTCTAATTATATAAACCTAAGACTATTCTTGAGTTCACAATCCTCCTGTCTCTGCCTCCAGGTGGTTGGGATTATATAGCCATACCCAGCTTGCTGCCTTCTTAAAGATTAGAAATGATGGAAAGGGTGCCACTGATCAGGATGCATTTTACTCATAACCTGGCAGATTGAATTGAAACCCCTTTGTACAACTACTTGAAGATAATATTTTTTTTTCTCCATCATGGGGCTTGAACTCAGGGCCTGGGCACTGTCCCTGAGCTTTTTGTGCTCCAAGACTAGTGCTCTACCACTTTGAGCCACAGCTTCTCTTCCAGTTTTCCTGATGGTTAGTGTCAGTCCTGACAGTTAACTGGAGGTAAGAGTCTCATGGACCTTGCAGTCCAGGCTGGCTTCAAACTGCAATCCTCAGAGTTCAGCCTCCTGAGTAGCTAGGATGACAGGCACGAGCCACTGGCACCTGACTAACGGTAATAATTTTTAAGACTAGAAATAACACACATGAGAATGAAATTGTTTCAAATACAACTTCTGACATCTCCAAAAGATAAAAAGAATGTCTATACATACTAATTCCAGGAATGCTTTCTATAGGAATCTGTCGAACTCCATCTTTAATACATGAAAGTCCAGGGTAGACTTTTCGGATCTTGGCCTGTTTTCTTTCTATCAGCTTTTTAATTATCTGTAAAGTACAGGAATAAAATACGTTGAGTGAAAGAAGTCTGTGCAATGACACAGTTCAAGTCAGCAACTTGAAGGAAACATTCTCCTTGCAAGAGTATTTCATGGTACAAAATGGCAGGAAAGGATGAATGCTATTGAACAGGTCAGAAATGAAGACATTCTTTTATCAGATCCATCTCAGAAACACTGGGCCCTGATATACAGACCAGGGTGCTTAGGGAAGAGGGGAGGGGCGACAAGTTGGAAAGGAGAGTGTGTTCATGTATAAAGCATGATACTTGTTTACTTATGGTGAAATTCATATGTTAACTATAATTTAGAACACATTTTTGTAAAAGGAATCAATATACACTAATAAAAGCAATTGTGAGAAGTTTAAAAAGGAGTGTAGGAGAATAGAGTACTAGAAAGGAGCATGTGAGCACTCTGTCATTGTATACATGTGCAGGAATGCCACAAGGAAATATATGGTAGTAAAAAATTATTTAACAAAGCAAGTCAATGCTGAGAACGCATTGCCCTATACTTCACTTCTCCTCTTGGGCACAAGAACCCACCACTTTGCTCTGCTTCTCTGAGGAGCCAGGTTCAGAAGAGCTGTGTATTCCTGGCAGCACTTGTCCAAGGGAAAGAACTTCTTCACCCCCCATAGTGGAGACTATCCCTTTCAGACAGGAGGAGCAGGTGAAAAGACCTCAGAAATGCCCAGAACTCTGGAAAATGTATAACCTGCTATTATTTAAACTGGGAAGGGAGGAGGGAGGAGGAGCGACGAGAGGGGGGTGGAAGAAGGGAAGAGAAGGGAGAAGAGGATCTTTGAAGGCTGAGCCCCAATGAATGCTATTCTCATTAGAAAGCTGTTCTAAAGTACTATCTACTGAGCACCATCAAAGGTTACTTGAAATGCTTGATTCATTCAGAACTTCAGAAAGCTGTTTTCTTTAGTTTATAAACAATCCTAAAGTAACTTAGGTAAGTAATTCCAAAGACATTACAGTTTTCCTTTAAAAACAGAAACACTGGAGAGCTGGTGACTCATCCCTTTAAAGGTAAATATGCAGGATGCTGAGATCTGAGGACCCCGTTAGAAGCCAGCCAGGGTGGAGCAGGAAAGTTAAAGAAATTCTTACCTCCAATTAACTATCAAAAAGCAGGAAGTGGGAACTATGGCTCAAGTGGTAGAGGGCTAGCCTTGAGAATCAAAGCTCAGGGAAGCCATGCTAGTGGCTCAGGCCTCCTAGCTACTTAGGAGGCTGAGATTTGAAAAATCACAGTTAGAAGCCAGCAGGGCCAGGGGAAGTCCATGATACTCTTATCTCTAATTAACCATCAAAAAAGCTGGAAGTGGAACTGAGGCTGGTTCAGTGCTAGCCTTGAGCAAAAAAGCTAAAGGACAGCCTCCAGGTCCTGAGTTCAAGGCCCTAGGACTGACACAAATAAAATTAAAAACAAAACAACAAAACAACACACACACACACACACACACACAATTACTTGGTATGCTAAGGCTAGATGATGGTGAGTTCAAGGCCAGCCTAGGATACATAGCTAGACCTTGTCTCAAATAAAAACTAAAAACTCCTCAATAATTACATAGCATATCTAAATTTGAGGGAAGAATTGCAAAACAATAGAAGTCACTACTCAATTCATAATGGGGGGGGGGGAGACAGGGAACACCAGTTCTTCTTCTAGTTACATATGGCTGGTGATCACTGCAGAATGAATTTACAGTCCTATCTGTCGAACAACAACTTCCCCAAATGACTAGGAATCGTAAATGTGCATCCTTGGCAAATCAAGATTAGTGCTACCCAATTAGAAATAGATACTGTAATTCCTACTGCATTTTAAATTCGAATGTAATTTATTAATTTAATTTGTAATTAAAATTTTTTCTAGTAGCCATGTTTTCGAATGGTAAAAAGAAACAGGTGACGTTGATTTTAATAATAATACATCTCTCATTGAACTCACTGTGTCAAAAATAGTTGAGAGGTACTTGACATTCATTTACTCCTAACAAAGTCTTTAGAAGTTGGAGCGTTCTAGGCCTACTACATCACATCCCAGTTCTGACTAGGTACAGACCAAATGCTCAATAGCCACATGTGGCTAGTGACTCCTACTCCTCTAGATGAACATTGACTTTTGTTAAGTCTGTCTTCTCTTGTGGTGCTGGTCATAGTGGTGGTAGTGGTGGTACCTGGAATCAAACCCAAGGCCTTGTACATGCCAGGCAAGCAATCTACCACAGAACTACATCCCTAGCCTCCCCTGGGAGGTGTGTGCGTGGTGGGGGGGAGGTGATCTGTTTGTTTCAGAATGGGATCTCACTACATAGCTTTGTCTAGTCCCAAACTTCTGATCTTCCCACGTGCTAGGATCCCAGAAGTATGCCACCATGCTCAGGCTGTTTACTGCCATTGTTAATCCCTCCCTTTCTTTCTTTCTTTTTTTTTTCCCAGTAAATGTTTAGGGGGTTATAAGAAATTTGATTATCAGAACAGGGATACTCAATCTGGTATTTTGTTCCAAATTCTAAAAATTCCAAAATCTAAACTACTTCTCATCACACAAATAATTTTGGATAAGGAAAAATTTGTCCGTGCATCCAAACATTTTATGATGATAAGTTCAGATTTCCTCTAAAGGAACTAGGTTAACAGCGCCAAACCTCCAGAAGCCATTCAGTGACTTGTGTGACAAAGTGGTAAGGAGAGAGGAAGAGGAGAGGGAGGGGGAGAGGGAGAGGGAAAGGGAGAGAGGGAAGGAGGGGGGAGAGAGGGGAGAGAGAGAGAGAGAGAGAGAGAGAGAGAGAGAGAGAGAGAGAGAGAGAGCAAGAGCCATCAGGAGAGAAAAGGGGGAGGGAGCCCTGTCTTCTAAAAGGCTGAATGCTTTGTGAGCTCTGTGCACCCTGTAGGTAGGAAGGGCCAATAAATCTCAGCATCAATGAATGCTTATACACTCTGCCAGGGGACTCCTGTGCTCAGCTAATCTGGGGTTTGAATTGCTGCTGGGCAGGATTGGGCAGAGAGCAGCTGACAGCACACTGAAGGCAGTAGTTGGCCAGCAGCCTAGATTGCCACAGCCGCTCATTAAGCCCCAGAGAACAATGAGGAAAGCCAGCTCTTGAGAGAGAGCAGGCTGGAGAGGAGCCTGCTGTGTTTCCTTAACTCTTCCAAACACTCACCCTCTTTGGAATCCTTTTTTTAGGTTCTGTGACCAAGACAAAGAAAATTTGTTTTAACTTCCCAATTTAACAGAAAATGCCAATTTGCTCATGTTTATAGAAGCAGAAAAACAAGTTTGAGCTGCTATAAATCAAAGAAAACAAATCAAATCAAATAACAAGCTTGCTGGCTGTGAATGTGGGTAAAACCTGACCAGTCGCTAAGCTACTAAGAACCAGGATTAAGGGTATTTGCAGAAAACAAGAAGTAAAGGTAGGCCGAAGACAGACAGACGTGTTTCTTTGGTAATTTGCAAGAGAAGAGTAAGTTCAAATGAACTCCCTGATTCATGAACACCAGCAAACTAAACTCCAGCCTGGTACTGGGAAGAAACCAAAATGTGCATTCATTTCCTAACAAATGTGGACTCTTCTTACGTTGTTACTTGATTTGTTCTGCTTTTGGGAAATTTAAAATGCCTATGTCTCTTTCTTTCATTGCTCAAGATGCATGAAACTCATTACTCAGATGTCAAATCACAAATCACTTCAGGTATCTAAAGAGAAGCCTTCAGAACTTGAAGTAATGCCCATGGAACGTGAATAATAGAACCCAAACAGGAAGAGTAGAAGCAGGGGTTGAGGAGAGCAGAGCAGGGCCTTGCATATCTGGAGAAAAGGGTGGGCGGCAAGAGGGTGGAGAATTCAAATAGGATGAGGGGAAAGAGGTATGTATAATCGAATGTTGAATGAGACAGGCCCAGTTCAAAGAACAAAATACTATATGTTTTCACTCACTCCTATGTGGGGGACTAGACCTGAAAGATATCACACTCATGGACATATACATATATACTCATATAGATAATTACATATTTATAGATAAATATAGAAGCTTAGTCTAAGGGACTACTTAGGAGGAGAAGGGAAAGAGAGAGGTGGAAAGGGAAGAGGATGAATAATTTTGAAATACACTGTAAGTACACATGAAAACAGCACAAAGATCCTCAATAAAAAGTTATTGCTCAATAGAGAAATATGGATGTAGACAGAGCAGTGGACTGCTGTGGTAAGCAATGAAGGAAGGGAGCCAGGCTAGCAAAGAGGATGAAAGAGGTGGATGTAGTTGAAGCAGATCATTTGCAACTATGAAAATAGAGGAGTAAAAGCTGCGGGAAAGAGGGAAGGAGAGTGATAAAGGGGGTTAGAGTGGAATATATTATAAATATGTGTAGAAATAGAACAATGAAATCTTCTGTATAACAATGTAAGCTGATGTAAGCTGAGACAGAGAGGAAGAGAAGGAGAGAGGGAGAGGGAGAGGGGGAGACAGACAGACAGACAGACAGACAAAGTGAGAGAAGGAAGAGAGAAGGAAAGGAGACAGGGAAAGAGGGAGAAGGGAGAGGAAGATAGAGGGAAGGAGAAGGATGATTGAGGCCAGAATGTAAAAGCCTTTGGCAGGAAATGATAAAACATATCATTGTATATTCTACATTTTAGGTTGACTCTCTTAAGGATTAATGACCCAAAAAGGAGCCAGGCAAAGTGGCGCTGTAGCTCAAGTGGTAGAGCGCTCGCCTTGAGCTGAAGAGCTGAGGGACAGCGCCCAGGCCCAGAGTTCAAGCCCCACGACCGACAAAAAAAAAAAAAAAAAAAAACACCAAAAAGGAGCCAGGCAAACATTATGACAGCATTAGATAAACATACATGGAACCCAGTGAAACACCATCTACCTCGGATATAAAGCTCAGTCAATTCGTACCTCCTTCTGTTTTTTAATGATGACAGAGAACTCTGTGTACGGAATCCGAGGATTCAGCTCACATCCCATTAAGGTGGCTCCTTCATAATCCTTGATGTAGCCAACATATTTGGTTTTGGGTATTTTAATTTCTTTGGAGAAACCCTACAAAGCAGATCCATTCGTTCATATGGACACTGGATCACATAGCTACTGAGTGCTAACAATATCCAGGCACAGAGAAAGGACTCCAGCATGCTTCCCTTCCATCTCCTTGACATACTAGGAAGAGGATTAGCTTGAAAACTACTCATGTCATTCAAATAGTGCAAACAGAAAATTATATAACACTTTAACATTATCCAAATAACAAGCCACCTGTGGCTCGTGCCACCGTAATCCTAATTACTTGGTAGTCTAAGAACCAGAGGATTGTAGTTTCTGGCTAGCCCAAGCAGAATGTGTCACAAGATCCCTTTGTGCCATCACTGGGCACAAAGATATACTTGACATCTCAAGCACAGTGGCAGCCTGGACATTTAATTTTTACTTAATAACTACGGCCATTTCAAAGTTTAAATGTATCTATTTTTTTCTTTTTTTGGGGGTGGGGGTGGGGGGGTAGTACTACTGAGGTTTGAACTCAGAGCCTCAATCTTAACAGGCTGAAACTATGGAACTATTTGCTGAGCTATGCCTCCAATCTTGTTTTTCACTGGTTATTTTCAGGATAGAGCCTTACTTCCTGTTGTGATACCCATCCCATCTTCCCTGGGATGACAGGTACAAGCCCCCATGATCCAGCTTGACTATCACAGAGATGGAAGTCTCTCAGACTTGTCTACCTGAACACAGCCACACAGGGACACTTAACTTCCCTCCCTCCCTCCCTCCATCCCTCTCTCTCTCTCTTAACCTCCCTCCCTCCCTCCCTCCCTCCCTCCCCTCTCTCTCTCCCTCTCTCTCTCTCTCATCTTTCTTTCTTCTCTTTTTTTGTTAGTCCTGGGGCTGGAAATCAGGGCCTGGGCACTGTCCCTGAGCTTCCTTTGCTCAAGGCTAGCCACCCTAGCCACACTTGAGCCACAGCGCCACTTCCAGCTTTTTCTGTTTATGTGGTGCTGAGGAATTGAACCCAGGTCTTTGTGCATGCTAGGCAAGCACTCTACTCACTAAGCCACAGTCCCAGCCATTTACCTGTTTCTTGAAGTATCCAATTGCATAATCGTCAGCGTATGTGAGGAAGTTGAGGATGTCGTGTTTTATGTGATATTCTTTCAGATGATTCATCAGGTGTGTTCCATAGCCCTGTGCACAAGTTAGCATGCAGACAAATGGATTAGGTCTTGGAGAAAAGAAAATCCTACAATCTTGCCAGGAAATGTTGGAAAACTGAAGAGATTGTGCTTGGAGATACATATGTATGTGTGTGTGTGTGTGTGTGTGTGTGTGTGTGTGTGTGTATATATATATATATATATATATATGATCATAACATATTTTTAACATAACATATATATGTGTATATTACCAACAGAAACTCTCCTGGGGGAAATCTAATATTAACAATTTATAACAATTTCTGAACTTTGAAAATGAGGGAGAGAACTACAAAAAATCTTCAAAATTCTTGGTTCAAGATAAAAAAACAACATTGGAAAATATGTTTTTGCTTCTTTGGCCATAATACACTGAAACTACAAACTCAGATACAAAAATTCCTAGCTAAGATGTTAAGTTTTCCTGGAGTAAATACTTTTAATGAATTTCTGCTTAATTTTGAAAGTATTTCAGAATCTGGGATTTAAAGAAGTGTATAAATGAAAAGTGGTAATGATCACTAGAAAATCACTAATCCAAGTGTTTTGCTCTGCATTACATAATATCAACCCTTCTAAAATTACTGTGGGATTTTTTCTTTTTCTTTTTTCTTTTTTTTTTTTTTTTGGTGCCAGTCCTGGGACTTAAACCCAGAATCTGGGTGCTGTCCCAGATTTTTTTTTTGCTCAAGGCTAGTGTTCTACCACTTAAGCCACAGCTCTACTTTCAGCTTTTTCTTTTTTTTTTTTTTGGTGTTTAATTGAAGGAAGACTTTCCTGCCTGTGCTGACTTTGAACAGTGACTTCTCAGATCTCAGCCTCCTAAGTAGTTAGAATTACAGACCTGAGTGGGCCTGAGCGCCCAGCATACACAGAATTTCTAACCTGCTATCATCAGACCTTTTCAAGAAAGATCTGGGGATTGGGGGGGGCAGGGCACAGTTGGTAGATTGCTGGCCAATGAGCAAATCAGGCAATCAGGTACAGAGTTTGAGTCCTGGTCTCCAACCAAAAAACAAACAAACAAACAAGCAAAAAAGAATAAGGAAAAGAGGACTGGAAAAGCCCAGAATCTCCAGGTCAGCCAGAACACACTAGCTATGTAATTTTAGCTATATAATTTTATAGAGATAAATAGCTATATAATTTTAAACTTATCAAGACCAAGGAGTTTTAAGATGAAAAACATATTCTAAAACCTGATAAGGTGCTTCGGGCATATTTTCAAATATTACCTTTTATGTGTTCTTAAACCAGATAAACTCACATGAAAATATTAAAATACTCACAGGAATTAAAAGATAACCTTGATTCACCTAAATGACTGGACAAAATTTTATTTCCTTTTACTTATACACACACATATTATTTTGGGGTTTGAACTTAAGGCCTTGCTCTTGCTCAGCTGGTGTTCTACCACTTCAGCCACACCTCTGGCCCCTGGATATAATTTTAAAGACATAGCCACACATTTAATATAGTAAATACAGATTTGCTGACTTCACAAGCAAGTGCTACTAGCACTGGGATTCACTGAGTTTTACCCCACGGTGAAGCAGAATGTCTGTGTGTTCCAGTGTTTGGGGTTGGCAGATACCTTTGAAAATCTAAGTATCTAAGGTAGTACCTGGCTCCGGAGTTGGTCATTAATTATTAACTAAAGACATGGGGCAATGAAAAGACAGGAAATTAATGATGTAACTGTTTCTCCCATTTCTATTTGTACTAAACAGTTGGTCCCTAAAAAGGTAATGTATCCATTATGCACATAAATACACATAATATCTTTCATCAATTTGTTCATCCTGTTCTATTTTGTAATATTAATCTTCATTTTCTAAAACGACACTTTCAGATCACTAACAAAGAAATGACTTTATTTTTCTAGGGCTTTCTACTGAATTTATGACATTTTTTTCCAACTTCATTCAAGTCTTTAAAATTTTACAGTGTAGGGAATACAATAAACTGCCCTTGTGAGAAGTAACAAGACAAAGCAGCAACTCATATTCTGTTTCCCTGTGGCATCCCTAAAAGTGTCCAAATCAACCTTAATTAACCTTTCCAAACAAGGTGCTTGCTATAGCCGTGTGCCTCTGTGTGTGTCTATGTGTCTGTGTGTCTCTGTGTGTCTCTGTCTCTCTGTTTCTGTCTGTCTGTCTGTCTCTCTCTCTCTCTCTCTCTCTCTCAGAGGCATGCACATGTGCATGCTAGACCTGGGGCTTCAACTCAGGGCCTGGGTGCTGTCCCTAAGCTTTTATGCTTAAGTTTAGCTCTCTACAACTTAAACCACACACAGCCCTCCTTCCTGATTTATGGTAATTAATTGGAGATAAGAGTCTCATGGACTTTCTTGCCTGGACTGGCCTTGAACCACAATCCTTAGATCTCAGCCTCCAGAGTAGATAGGATTACAGGCGTGAGCCACCAGTGCCTAGTTCTTGTTATACCTATCTCTAAAAACACAATTTATACAATTGAGCCAGGTGGGCATGCCTGTAATCTTAGCGCTTGGAAGGAAGTAGGAGAATCAAGAATTCAAGGCTAGCCAGGGAAGGGGAGGGAAGGGAAGGAAGGAAAGGGAGGGGAGGGGAGGGGAGGGGAGGGGAGGGAAGGGGAGGGGAGGGGAGGGAAGGGGAGGGGAGGGGAGGGGAGGGGAGGGGAGGGAAGGGAAGGGAAGGGAAGGGAAGGGAAGGGAAGGGAAGGGAAGGGAGAAAAAGTAAGTGTTATACAACCTCTCTCTATGAACAGTTAAAATTTGCCTTAAAGTCCTAAACTCTAGATGTTTAGAAACACCTGGGTACTTGAACATTTCTCACTTTGCTGGGGGAGGGGAGAATGTAACAGTACAAATAATACCATTTAAAGACATACTGTCAGAATCCTTTGGAAAACAGAGTCTCCAATAAATTTAGTTCTTTATTTCCCCAATCCAAATAATAAGACCTGACTTACTTGGTCCTGGATGTGCTCACACACCTCCACTGTGCTTTGTGAGAATAAACACTTCACAGAAGCCACAATGGCGACTGTGGTCAGAGAACAAGGTTGCTACTGAAATCAGAGGTACCCAATGTCTTTGAGCAGAGAATACTCATTCTTTGTTTTTGTGAATGACACAGTTTCTTTGAGGAAGGAATCAACCACATATTTCATCCTTCACTGCTCAATACAGGAGCCAGGGTCCACATGTGTCTTATTGAAATATAGTTCATCCAAATTGATACATACTAGAAGTGTAAAATATACAATTGATTTCAAAGACGTAGTAACAAAAAAATTAAAAAAAAAACAAAAAAAAAGAACCCAAAAGGTCTCAAAAATATTTCATAACATTGAATTCTGGGCAAAACAAAATATTATTAATAACTAATCTCACCTGTTTCCACTTGCTTCTCTTTAAAATGTGGCTATTAGAAGATTCAATAGCTCATCTATGCAATCACTGCAACGTTTCAGCTTACAATAGACCTCTACTGGACATTATCTTAGACCATGCAATCATTCTTCTCATCTTTCCACCACCCACAATAATATTTTTCCATGGTAGCTTTTAGAGCTCCCTGAATACTCAATGCATAATCTTCTCAGGATTTATTTCTGATTCCCTGTTTCCTCAGAGCAGCAGAGGAGGTCATTACATAATCTAGATAGGACCTCTTTTTGTCACATGGGTTGTCTAGCCAGACCAACTACAACAGCAATAAAACAGCCACACCTGCCAGGGAGGAAGGGATTCATGCCCAGGATAAGGGGAGATAAGTTAACAAGTAGGGAAAATAAAAACTCCAACACATTCCAAACCCTACAAGAATGCTGATTCATGAATGCACTCAAATTCTTCATAACTTCCTTTATAGAAGTACTTTAGGAATCATAGAATCTTTCTGTAGTCTAACTGGCTAAATCACCTTCCTAATCCAGATCAATTACAACCTTTCTGGTGGCTTGATGATACCGTGTGTGTGTGTGTGTGTGTGTGTGTGTGTGTGTGTGTGTGTGTGTGTGTGTGTGTGTGTGTGTGTGTGTTAAACACTGAGCGTTACTTTCAAAGCTCTCTTCATTGGCTACAGAGTACACTTCAGGTACATCATGAATTGCACAGTGAGGGTGCGTTTTGACAACCCAACTTTCCTCTTCTCTCCCCCATGTCTGTCTTACATGAACACACAGTTAGAGTAAGAAGACTCGTCTCAGAAAACCATAAGCTCTATTTGCAGTCTTCTCTGAACACAGAATAGAGAGAGTTTCTCCAAGCTTCACAGCTTTGGTGCGAACCCCACACCCCACTTTTCTTCTAAGACCCTGGGTTTTCCTTACCTTGACTTGCTCATTTGAAGTTACAGCACAGAAAACAATCTCTGTGAATCCCTGGAATGGGAACATACAGAAACAGATACCACCAATAACACGGCCATCTTTAATTAAAGCAAGGGTTTTGTGTTTCCTGAAAGGATAAAATTATGTCAAAGTCTTACCAATCTTGGTTTTATAAGGATGCTCTGGGTGGTCACTAACTAACCAAAAGGGGAGGGGGGGATATGTCTTGAATTTCTGTGGGAACTTCCTTCATTCTAGCCACTATACTTTTACCTAGGACTTGACAACAAAAGGCATCATCAGAGCACCCACCAGAACAAAATTGAATGTCCTCTAGTAAGTTCCAATGTCTAAAAGTAGCAAGAAAGTATGTGTGGAGGTGTTTTGGAACTGGCATACCCTATGCCCAGGGAACCATGGTGAGAATCAAGAAGAGAGCTCAAAGTCATGACAAACATGATACACATTTCTGCAGTTAATTCTTTTTCTTTCTTTTTTTTTTTTTTTTTTGGGTCCGGTCATGGGGCCTGAACTCTGGGCCTGGGCGCTGTCCCTCAGCTCTTCAGCTCAAGGCTAGCACTCTACCACTTGAGCCACAGCGCCACTACTGGCTTTTTTCTTTTTGCTTACGTGGTGCTGAGGAATTGAACCCAGGGCCTCAGGCATGCAAGGCAAGCGCTCTACCTGATCTGTAATGTTTTTGAGTAAGAATTAACTGCAGAGGGTCTGGGAAGGTGGCTCAGTGGTAGAGCGCTTGCCTTGCATGCATGAGGCCCTTGGTTCGATTCCTCAGCGCCACATAAGCAAAAAGAAAAAAGCCAGAAGTGGCGCTGTGGCTCAAGTGGTAGAGTGCTAGCCTTGAGCTGAAGAGCTAAGGGACAGTGCCCAGGCCCAGAGTTTAGGCCCCAGGACCGGATCAAGAAAAAAAAAAAAATTACAGATCAGGCACCACAGTAGTTAATCCAAGAATGAGTGGATTACCAAAAAGCTAATATAGCTTCTAAGTGTGTATATTGCTAAATGAATGGAGTACAGGGCAGCCAAATAGTAACTTAAAATACAGAGCATATTAACAAGAACATTTTAAGCTGAGCACCAGAGGCTCATGCCTATAATCCTACCTACTCAGGAGACTGAGATCTGAGGATCACAGTTCAAACCAGCCTAGATAGAAAACTCCATGAGACTCTCATCTCCAATTAACTACCAATAAAGAAGCCAGAAGTGCAGCTGTGGCTCAAGTGGGAGAGCACCAGCCCTGAGGACAGTACCCAAGCTTTGGGATCAAGGGGGGCAGGGAAACAGAGAAGGAAGAGCTTACGGGTCAAAGACAAGACGTGTGATATACTCTTTTGGTATTCGGGGCAGCTGATGGGAGAAGACGTTCTGTAGACCAACCAGCCACATCAGAATCTTCTTGTTTGGTTTCTGGTTCAGGGAATTGCCAACCACATGGAATTCAATGACACCCCTGCACTCTTCCAGCCTCGCTGCCTCGTCCCTGGCTGAGTGTGCCGACAGAAAATTGGTCTAGGATGCAGGAGACAGGAAAAGGTCACACACAGCTACTCTGTGAAGGCAATGGCACATCAAAGCTTCTCTTCTTTGTTCTAGTCAGGTACGCGTTTGCGGATTTCCAGGGTGCAAATACACACACATGCATGCAGACACACATGCATGAACATGCACACACATTCCTCAAGTCTTGAAGACAAAATAGAAAGATAAGTAAAGCAGTGGGAGAAATCTGAGGACCACCAAGGTGCCAGATAAGCTATCAGCCAATTTTTCCATCATGTGCCTGAGAAAAAACATCTTAGACTGTTTGAGCCATAAGATCTCTGTCTTCACTTCTCAACTGTTATTACAGTACAAAGGAAGATACAGATGCTCTGTTAAGGAACAGATGTACTAAAAGAATAGGTGCATTAGTACTCCAGTTAAGACTTTAGCTAGAACACAAAATAAAACAGAGTAAATCACATTTGGCCTATGGGCCATAGTTTGCCAGTCCCTTGTTTAAAAACATAATAATAATAATCTCATTTACTTCAGTTTTAAAAGACCCATTGTGATGACAGATCCCAAATTCTCATAAAAGACCAAAACACAGTGGTCACATTCCTATTTTAGCACCTCTTTTCAGAGAACAGTTTTCTTTGCTAAGGAGTATCTGTTGACCCTCACTAAACCACAGCAGATATTACAGCAAGGGCCGGTACTCTGTGTTCCTCGTCTTATTTAATCCATCAGTGCAATGCAGGGAAATAAATGTTCCACAAACAGCTCTTCAGGGAGGAAAAGTCCTAACTGGTAGCACTTTGCTGCTTTCATTGGTTTACAGTAGCTGGATGTCCATGTGACCAGGCACCACTGTGATCAATTTCAAGCCACCAAGCTATTTAACAACCAGCTTAGAAAACTCCTAAAATTTAACTGCTTACTTCCATGCATGCGCCAGTACCAGCCAGTTCCACACACTACGAAATCCATCTAACAAATTTCAACCATGATTGCAGTCCACTTTAGAACTCAAAACACTAAGATCAGTGAAGATATTCAATCCTTAAAAGACTAAGAGAAGAAGCTGGGCACCAGTGGCTCACGCCTATAATCCTAGCTACTCAGGATGCAGAGCCTGGGCAGGAAAGACTGTGTGAGACCCTTATTTCCAATTAACCACCAGAAAACCAGAAGTGGTGCTGTAGCTCAAGTGGTAAAGTGCTATAGCCCCTATAGCTCAGGGATAGTGCCCAGGCCCAGAGTTCAAGGCAGACAACCGACAAAAAAAAAAGACTCAGAGAAGAGAAGAACGAGTGCTTGAAGTCCTCACAGACCAAACATCACAATGGGAAAGAATAATCGTATGATGAGATCTATTATTATTATTTTGAGGGAGCAGCACTGGGGGTTAAACTCGGAGTATTATGTTCTCCCTGGCACTCTGCCACTTGAGTCACAACTCCACTTCTGGCTTTTTGGCGAATAATTTGAGATACAAGTCTCACAGAATTTTCTGCCAGGGCTGGCTCTGAAGCACAATCCTCAAATCTCAGCCTCCTGAGCAGTTAGGATTACAGGCGTAAGCCTATAATCCTAGCTTTATTATTATTATTTTGTCGTGCCAGGGATTAAACCCGGGGCCTCATGTAGGTTAGGCTTTAACCCTAGTCCATGAGGATATATTTCTACTAAAACAGTCCAGTTCTCTGAATTAACCTCAATATCACAGAATACCTAAAAAAAAAAAATGGCAAAGCAAAACTTAATCTTTTTTTTAATTGAATAGAGCTATAGTAAGAAGATATAAAAATTGTTGATAAAATAATATCCAGGCCATTTTTCCTATGGCTTAAGCCACTCTGCAATAAGTATCATGTAACAAGATAGCAGCAGTACTTTTACTAAAAGTGCTTGAATCTAATAACCAGTAAGCAAAGACAAATTCAAATAGACAGCAAAAGTGGTGACCAAGAATCAACAACAACATATCAAAAGGCCAAGAAAAAGCTGGAAAATTACTGCTTTAAAGTAAAGAGACTTAGCAGACTAGGAATATAGCTGAGTGTAGTGTGTTTTCCTCGCATACTAAGGCCGTGGGTTCAACCTGGAGCACCGCCCACAAAAAGAGAGACACTTAAAAGCATGAGGAAATCAAAGTTAGATGCAATGCTTTGTTCCCTAGTTGATCCTTCAACAACAGCAATAATTGTGACAAAGGACACCATTTAGACCGATGGGGAATTTAGATATGGGATGTATATTACACCAGGGCCAGCAAACTTTTCAATACAAGGTAGGAGGGGTGTATTTTATGCTTTTGAGATGCATATATTTGGCAGATCCCAGTTACTCAAACCTGCTACTACATGCAAAGACAGCCACACATAGGAGCCTCCTGCTGCTCTGGAGGCTGACATGGGAGAGTCACTTGAGCCACAAATTTGAGTCCATGCACTGGTGGCTCACACCTGTAATCCTAGTTACTCAGGAGGCAGAGATCTAACCATTGAGACACAAAGTCAATGGGAGAAGGAAAGTCCAGGTGATTCTTATCTCTAACTGCCAAAAACCAGATATGGAGCTGTGGTTCAGTTGGTGAAATGCTAGCCTTGAACGAAAGGAAGGAAGGAAGGAAGGAAGGAAGGAAGGAAGGAAGGAAGGAAGGAAGGAAGGAAGGAAGGAAGGAAGGAAGGAAGGAAAATGCTGGAATGCTAGATCCAGTTTGTGGACTATAGTCTGCAACCTTATATTAGAAAACTTTATAACCAAATTTTCTGAGTGCTAACTTTGCTAAGAGTGCTAATATGCCAAGCTAAATGTTCTAAGAGTGCTAACTGCATTGTGATTTTGAAAGTGAATATCGTTGCTCCTATGAAAGCTAAGGGTAAAGTGTTTATCTCTTTTCAACTCTGAAGCCATTCTAAATGGTTCACAAGAGAGAAAAGCAGAAGATAGAGTGAAATGGGGCCTAATGTTAACAACTAGAGGGATCTAGAAGTCCAGAGTTTTGTTTTATGTTTTGAACCACAGATATTCTGTAACATTTTCCGGGTTAGAAATACATCAAGATAAAAAGGGTTGCAACTGTGAGAGATTATTAGCATGAGGCTCTGTGATGTGATATTCTTTGAAGGAAATGATCTCTTGACTAGCCAACCCTGCCCTTCCCACCTGGACCACCAGGGTCCATGCAAACCTAGACAGAAGGCTAATTCTCTGCTGACAACAGAAGGCTTCATTTCTGAGAGCTTAAGGGGCTGGAAGAACAGGAGACGCCTACCAGCTCCCAGATGCCGTTTGCCCTGCTCACCTCTGGCCCGAGCATGGTTGCAGGGTCTGTGATGGTGGACATGACCTCATGAATCAACTCCACTGGAATATCCCCCATAACCCGGGGTCTTTTGGCCTCTTCTAGAATGTGAGAGTCATTCATTTTCCTCTTCTCTCCTACAAAGATCAAAATTTAGAAGGCAAACGATAGGTACACATCATATACACATAAAACAAAATGTGAATGCCCACTGATACAACTAATTTCCTAACAGAGTTGACGGAATGGAGGTCAATATCCTCTGTGACGGAGGAAAGGGGGGGGCAGTAAAAGATGGGAAAGTGATGGGCGGGGTCATAATAATTGCCAATCGCAGATCCATTTTCTCCATCTGGGTGTCCTCTCTTTTACCCCTCTTAAGAGCTTACCTTGGTTTGCTTCAAGCCCAGATGACTTGCAGGCAGGACTCGTGCTACCTCCATTTGGCTGCTCCAGGGAAGATGAGTTTGAATTGTATGACACTGTCCCAGCCACAGGAGGTGGATTAATAACCGCCCCAAGAAAAGGGGGAAAAAAATATGAGATGACTATGTGCATAGGCAACAAGGAAACAAGAACACCTGAAATCAACACCATAGAAAGTCATCTTTAAACTAAAAACCACTTAGCATCAAGATGGTAAGAACAGAAGCCAGGCTCTAATGGCTCACACCTGTAATCTTAGCTACTCAGGAGGCTGGAATCTGAGGATCTTGGCTCAAGGCCAAGAAAGTCTCTGAGATTCTTCAAGTGACCACCATAAAACTCCAAGTAGAGCTGTGGCTCACATGTTACAGCACTAGTCTTGACTAAAAAAGCCAAGGGACAGTAGCATCCAGGTCCTGGATTCAAGCCCCGGTACTGGCAAAACATAATTAATCAAAAATAAAGCCTGGGGAAACAAGTAGCAATACGAAGCCAGCCCAAGCAGATAATGGCATAAGCCCCGTTCTCAACCCATAGGAGCCCCTGTCATCTCAGGAATGGCAGAGGCTGAGACTGGGAGAATCAAGATACTAGATTAGCCCCAGCAAGAAAGCTGATGAGACTCCATCTCCGTAGAGTTCCCTGGACATTGCGGTATCTCTATGATCCCAGCAACTACAGGAAGCCTGGAAGGAGGTAGAGTATGGCACAGGCACACACACCTAGGCAGACAGCAAAACCCTATCTTAAAAACAACCAGGGGAGGGAGTGGCGCTGTGGCTCAAGTGGTAGAGCGCTAGCCTTGAGCTGAAGAGCTGAGGGACAGCGCCCAGGCCCAGAGTTCAAGCCCCACGACCGACAAAACAACAACAACAACAACAACAACCAGGGATAAAACGAGGCTGAAGGGGTAGCTCAAGTTATACAAGTCCCTGAGTTCAAACCCCAGGAAGGCCCCCAAAATAAAATCCACTTAAGTGCCAGGCTATATGTTTTGGGTTTTTTTTTTTTCCTTGTAGCACCCAGGCCTTCTGAATTTCAAAGAGGATTTTATCAAAGAGGAAGCGCGGATGATTCAGAAGACATCTTAAGAGTATCTTGCAAAACTTTAGAGCCATCATTATAAATGTCATTCTCACAGTTGCACAGATGTGCAGACATGCCAATTAAGAAGACAATTACACTCTTCTCGCCCCTGAAGAGAACACATTGCAATTACGACGAAACACAAGACAGCTTGCTTCTGATAGCCTTCAGGTTAAGACTGAAGTGTACTCTTCAGCTTAACTGGGCACAACCTTAAAAACAACAACAACAACAAAAATAACAAAAAATAAGCTTAAAATTCCCATGCAGCCAGAGATCACCGCTGCCTGCTCCAGCCTGTGTATGGAATGGCAGATAACATGTGGCCAGAAGCAGAGCAGACAGGGAAGATTCTGAGCAGGCACAGATTAAAGGGAGTTCTCACTCACAAAGCAACCCTCTCTGGAGGCCCTCAATAAGTGAACTAAATGGACCCTGCTGAACAGCTTTGATGTTCCAAGCCCAAGGGAGGAAGCAGTGTTCATTCTCTGCTCATTCTTTCCCCAAGCCGGCGACGCTGAACACTAGCCCACGCCACAGGAGAGCACTTAGTGCTTGTTCTGGCTTCTCATGTCCTACAGGAGTCAGGAACTAGGCGTGGGAGTGGAACCCAATGCCATCTCATAGAAAATCTGGTCTAGGGCAACTTGTTAACCTTCTCTGATCTTCTATGTCCTTCAAGTAAAAGGGATATTAATTCTAGTTTCCTAGAGTTTGTCAGGAGGAAGTTTCAGAGGCAAAGTACTCTGACAGTATCTGTTATTGTTGTGGTGGTAAAACTGGGCCTCTGACCATCTAAGACTTGCATTCATATTAGAGAGAAATATGGACCTAGGGCAACATGAGTATGATATTACACAATAGTTCTCAGATATGCTTGCACATTCAAATCAACCGGCTGGGAAGGTGGCTTATTGTTAGAGTGCTCGCCTAGCATGCATGAAGCCTTGGGTTCAATTCCTCAGTACCACATAAACAGAAAAGGTTGGAAGTGGTGCTGTGGCTCGAGTGGTAGAGTATTAGCCTTGAGCAAAAGAATCTCAGGGACAGTGCCCAGGCTCTGAGTTCAAGCCCCAGGACTAGCAATAAATAAATAAAATAAAATCACCTAAAGCTTTTAAAAAGTCCACAATGTCCAGCAACAACCCAGACTAAGAAAATCATGTTCTCTTATAGTATCACAAATATCCATGGATGGTTCCATTGTACAGTCATGTTTCACCACCCAGAACAGGATACATATGGTCCAGTTTCTAGGAAAGATGGGCTCTGAGGGTTCACACCTTTAACTCCAGCTACTCAGGAAGCTGAAATCTGAGGACTGTGGTTCCAAGCCAGTCTGGAAAGGAAAGTCCATGAGACTCTTATCTCCAAGTAACCACCATAAAGCTGGAAGGGGAGGTTTGGTTGAGATGGTAGATCACCAGCTTCGATCAGAAAACACCAAGAAAGAATGCAAGGCCTTGAGTTTGAGGTTCTGAGTTTAAGTTCTAGTACTGGTACCCCACCCCACTCCCCTCCACACACACATACATACAAAAGATTGTAGGAATCTCTGAAAGAAGGGAGCTCTAGTGCTTGCTGGGGAACAGGTGAGGAATTAGGCAACTGAGGGAGAGGTGGCATCCGAATGCTAGGTGAGATCAGGACAAAGGTGAAGTGAATTGCACAGGTCCAAAGAGAAATACAGTGGACATCTCCAGGAACCACACAGTATGCCCAGTCAACTCTTGACTGTGCAGTTCTACAGAGGAGACAGCACTACACACACATAGACCTTAGCGCATACTAAGGGTTTTAAGCATAAGAAACATGAAATTATGACCTAAAGTAAAAAAAGACACAGGACAAGTTTGGTACCAAACATTCAAACAAAACAGGTTTTGATTCAAATCAAAATACCTCATTCCCTAAGCACTGTGATTTACAGGGATTTGATTACATATATCCAAGGTTGGGCAATAGATTTTAAAATAATAATTAAACAAACATCTCAAATGTTTTTGCTGACTGAAAGTAATTGGACTCAAAAAACTATATACTATATGATCTCTTCCATTTGATATTCTGGAAGACTAGACTGCATCAGATAAAAGGTTGCCAGGGCTGGGGTAGAATGATGAATGCCCTACAAAGGGTACAGATGATCTGTCCAGAGTAATGCAACTGCACCATATTTGATAGTAATACCCAACTGTATATGCTTGCTAAAACTCATGGTAGCCTGGCACCTGTGGCATACATCTGTAATCCTGGCTACTCAGGAGGCTGAGATCTGAGGATCTCGGTTCAAAGTAAGTCTGGGCAGGAAAGTTTATGAGACTCTTATCCCCAGTTAACCACCAAAGGGACAGAAGTGTATTTGGGGCTCAAGGAGTAGAGTGCAAGTCTTGAGCAAATAGCTCAGGGACAGTGCCCAGGCCTGAATTCAAGCCCCAGTATCAGCACAAAAGAACAACAACAACAAAAAACATAAACCCCTGTGGCATACTAAGAAATGATGAGTTTTTATTTTTTAGATTTTTACATTTTAATTGTAAAGGTGATGTACAGAAGGGTTAGTTACATAAGTGAGGTAATGAGTAAATTTTCGTTTGAACAGTGTTACCCCATCTCTCATTCTCTCCAAATTTTTCCCCTTCCAGCTTCCCTCTTCCCCAAGTTGTATAGTGTCTAGTGGGTTTCACAATGAGGCTTTAAAATAGTGAGATTATGCCTAAAATTCTTCTTAAGAATAAAATTACCTTTCCTGGATACAACCATCGCAAGTCAACATATTACCAATAACTAGAGTTCTCAAACAAAACAAAACACCCAAACCTTGATATCAAAGCGAAGACTTCTGTCTTGTGCCATCACCAGCCATCAATTCATGTTCTGGTATTTCTACCAGGCTCCGTTGAGTGTGACTCATGCCAAAGGCAGGAACGATAATGATCAAAAAGGCAGCCGTCTCCTTCCCTTACAAGACGCCATTTGAAGCCACTGGCCAACTGGAGGGAACACTTCACATCCCCAGACCCAAGACCACTCTTCTCACTATGGCACCATTACCCTCATAGTAAATTTGTGCATGAAACAGACATCATGGATGAGTTAGACTGATTCCTAGATATATCCAGCCATTGGCTGGGCCTTTAAGTGGCTTCAGAAAGAGCCAGTGTTTGGCTACAAGGCTGAGCTGCCTGGCATTTTATACTTCCCATTAAACTGTAATGAGCAAGCCATGCCTTCCTGCACATACTACTATTTTAACTATTTAGTTCATTCCTGCACTTCGCATCCACAAAGACATAACTGCAAGATTTTGGTTTATACTCACTTTCTCCTCATTAACAGTAATGCAAAGGAAGATTTGTGAAAATATTTGCCTTTGCGTTTTTGTTTCTTTTCCTAATGAAAAACCACAAATAAATGCAATGAGAGCTACAACTAACACTTCAGGTTGACCTTCTTAGCTGCTCTCTGAGATCTGTGAAAAGAAATTTGCCTATAGCCACGTACCAGTGGCTCATGCCTGGAGTCCTAGCTACTCAGGAGGCTGAGATCTGAGGATCACAGTTCAAGCCAATCAAGGCAGAGATTCTTATCTCCAATTAATCACCAAAAAAGCCAAAAGTAGAGGATGGCTCAGGTGTTTGAGCAAGAATGCTAAAGGATAGTACCCAGCTTCTGAACTCCAGTACTGGCACAAAGAAAAAGGAAAAGGAAACAGGAAGGAAGGAAGGAAGGAAGGAAGGAAGGAAGGAAGGAAGGAAGGAAGGAAGGAAGGAAGGAAGGAAGGAAGGAAGGAAGGAAGGAAGGAAGGAAGGAAGGAGGGAAGGAAGGAAGGAGGGAGGGAGGGAGGGAAGGAAGGAAGGAAGGAAGGAAGGAAGGAAGGAAGGAAGGAAGGAAGGAAGGAAGGAAGGAAGGAAGGAAGGAAGGAAGGAAGGGAGCTCACCTGTTTGGATTCCTAGCTGACTGTTCTAGAAGAGACTGAGAGAAAATCCTGATCCCAAATGGGAGAGTTTTGACTATAAACTTCTTCTTCCAACATGGACAGAAACCTAGACACAAAAATAAAATCAAGATTAAAAAAAAAAAACCTTAATGTATTACTAGAGAGGCAAAAGCCCTAGAGACATTTGACAATCCCCCTAACATTGGGGTCTGGTTTTCAATTCAGAAATATCCTAGAGAGTGTGAACTAAAATGATGACATCATTGGGCAGTTCTGATCTCTTCTAAGACAGAAACACCTTCCCATACATTTATTTTGACTTATCACACATACACTGCAACACAATAAGTAGTGTTGGAAGGGGTTGATGTGCATTAATTTAGCAGATTGTTATAAGGACAGTTGAAACAGAATCATTACTACATGCATTTTGCAGATGAAAAGGACCAAGTACAGAGAGGTTAAATAACTGTCAAATTCCCACCCTGAAGCCAGGTGCTGGTTGCTCATGACTATAATATTGGGTACTCAGGAGGCTGAGATCAGTGGATCTTGGCTCAGAGCCAGCTGGGGAAGTAAAGTCTAGAAAACTCTCCTCTCCAATTAACCACCAAAAAAAGCCAAAAGTGGAGGTGTAGCTCATGTGGTAGAGTCCCAGCCTCGAATGAAAAGGCAAATAGAAGCTTCCAGGTCCCAGAGTACTACTGCATACACACCAGTCCCAGTACTGGTGCACACACACACAAAAAAAATTGACAAATACAACAGTGAGGACAGAATTGTGACCAGCAATTCATTATTATTTTATCTTCTCACCATGTTATAAAGCAAAGTTTTGGGACCCATAAGTAACACCTGGAAATGTTGGTAGAAACAGACACTCAACCAAGTACTGGTGGTTCACATCTGTTATCGTAGCTACTGAAGAGGTCAAGATCTGAGGATCCAAGTGTGAAAGCTATCTAGAAAAATAAAACTCTATCATTAATAAGAGAACAAAAATCAGGACTGGAATTATGGATCGAATAGAAGAGCATCAGCTATGACCAATTAACTGGCAAAAGGTTGGATTGGATAGATAAACTATAGAATCAACCTAGGTGCCCATCAAAAGATGAAGAAATAACAAATGGGGGCTGGGAAGTTGGCTCAGTGGTAGAGCGCTTGCCTTGCATGCCTGAGGCCCTGGGTTCGATTCCTCAGCACCACATAAGCAAAAAGAAAAAAGCCGGAAGTGGCGCTGTGGCTCAAGTGGTAGAGCGTTAGCCTTGAGCTGAAGAGCTGAGGGACAGCGCTCAGGCCCAGAGTTCAGGCCCCACGACCGGACCCAAAAAAAAAAAAAGAAATAACAAATAGGAAATAAGGATAAAGGAAAAAGATACTGGGAGATAAAGATAAGGGATAAAGAACATTCAGTAGACACATACAATGGAGTAGTATTCAATCCTAAAGAAGAATGATCCAGGTGTGGTGGCTCACACCTGTAATTCCAGATGGCCATGAGGCAGACTTTCAGTTCAACCCCTCACTGTGTACACTAATAAAACACTGTTCAAAAAGAAGTGTACTCATTGCCTGACACATAACTGTAACCCCTCTGCACATCATCTTTACAATAAAATTTTAAAAAATAATTTTAAAAAAGTTGGATTGGAGGTGTGGTTGAAGTGGTACAACACTAGCCAGGACCAATTAATCAGCAAAACTGAACTGGAGACATGGCTAAAGTGCTAGAACATCATCTGTGACTGAAAAAGCCAAGCCAAAGTGTGTGGGCCTGAATCAAGCCCCAGTGCTGGCAGGAGAGAGGGAAGGAAGAAAGGAAGGACAGGAGGGAGGGAGGGAAGGTAGGTGGACAGGCAGATATTCAAGTCTCACCTAGGCTTACTGAGTTTTTTTCTCTAATACATAAATGAAAAATAGAAATATCTAAAAGTATTTCAGCGTACATTTTTCAAGCTGTACATTTACTTCTTTTAGAATGACACTGTGGGGCCTATTAACTCATACCCCACACTCAGGAGGCTGGGCTATGGAACAAGACCCATCTCAAAAAGATAAAACAGGGGCTGGGAAGGTGGCTCAGTGGAAGAGTGCTTGCCTTGCATGCATGAGGCCCTGGGTTCGATTCCTCAGCACCACATAAGCAGAATGGTGCTGTGGCTCAAGTGGTAGAGCACTAGCCTTGAGCTGAAGAGCTGAGGGACAGCGGCCAGGCTGTTTTGTTCAGACAAACCAAACAGGCTGGACACTGATGGCTCACACTTATAATCCTAGTTACTCAGGAGACTTAGATCTGAGGAACATGATTCAAAGCCAGCCTGCAGAGGAAAAGTCCGTGAGACTCTTATCTCCAATTAACCACCAGAAAACATGAAAGTGGACCTGTGGCTCAAGAGGTAGAGAGCTAGTGTTGAGCAAAAAGGCTCAGGGACAGTGCCCAGGCCTTGTGTTCAAGCCCCACAACTGACAAGAAAGAAGGAAAGAAGGAAAGAAAGAAAGGAAGGAAGGAAGGAAGGAAGGAGAGAAAGAAAGGAAGGAAGGAAGGAAGGAAAGAAGGAAGGAAGGGAGGAAGGAAGGAAGGAAGGAAGGAAGGAAGGAAGGAAGGAAGAAAGAGACAAACAACTAAAAAAAATGAAATACAGAAATCAGCCATTAGAAAATTGTAAATAATTTGTAGATTAGGGGGAGGAAGGCACTAGTTAAAGAAGAGAAAGCATACAAGGATAGAAAAGATGGGGGTCTGAACTTTGAACATGCATCAGAGAATCAGAGGCCCCACTGGGTCACTGGGTGCTGGGATGTGGGTCCTAGCTCTCACCCAGAAACAGAGATCAAGACTCAAATAAGCACCGTCAGACCACAGTAAGTGTGATTCTACTGCCAGAGCTGTTGGTATAGATCCACAATGGTCTCAGATGTTGTCATATTTGATGAAAAAGGATTTGAGGAGAAGTAGGTGGTAGTTTTTACCCTACCATTAGTAGCAAAAGAAAATTCAATAGCATAAGCATGCCAAAACTATGGGTTGAAGGAACAAAACACACTATAATTAGCAAATATCTGCAAGATGCATTTACTATGGGGGAAAAAAAACTTACTATGCAAAGTAATTAAGATTTCTCTTTTACTACCCTAATGTTGGGGTGGGAGGGTCCTTCTTTGTCCTTTGACCATTAACACAATGACAACTATCACATAAAAATATAAATGCCACTTATGTAGCAACTGTAATGGTGAAATAAGTAAAATGGCTTTAATATTTTGGAAAGGAATATATCTGAAAGACAGCCACTGAATATATTCGCATGCCCAGAAATCATACTATGACTTAGGGAGACTTTCAAACTTTGGCCTAAGTGCTTCAGAAAACACTAAAACATTCAGGTCACCAATTTCCCATATTGGTTTTCTGGCAGTGGAGCTGTGACTCGAGTGGTAGAGTACCAGCCTTGAGAAAAAAAAAAAAAGGAAAAAAAAGCTAAGGGACAGCGCCCAGGCTCTGAGTTTAGGGACACACCTAAAACAAAATGGAAGCTCACTATAGAAAATGGTCCATGTGGGGGAGGGGGAAGATGGGAGATGCTAAGAAAAGATTCATTGACGATTCACAAAGGGAGTCAGGGTCCTTTATCTCTCTCCTCTTTGGATGCTTTTCTGTCATTCTTGATTTTATTATTTATGCAATCTTTGGTATATGTATTTGGCAACCTCAAGTTGCTAAATGGAATCAACCCAACCACGTGGAGAGTTCTCCCCTTACTTTGGGAAATGTGTGAGGATTAGGGCTCGTTTCTCCAGAGGCAGTTTGTCCTTTTCCTGCCTTGCTTGTTCCAGGAGTTGTCGCCTCATAATGGTGAAAACTGAGCGAAGCAACGTTCTCCCGAACACCTCGGTGGTCTCGTACCGAGGTAAACTGTCACAGAACTGCGGCACATTGCAGTAACACAGCCATCTGCAACAAGAAGAGACAAGTACCGTCAAGACAAATACCGGACTCTAAACATGGCTAACCACAGCAGACAAAACCAAGTCTTCAGTGCTGATCCAAGATACTAGTCACTAGCTAGTGAAACTTGGGCTTAGATTCAACCCCTCCCCCTCCCCCCCAACACACACACTAGTACTTAGAGCTGAGTCTATTGGGAACATTGGACTCTACCAGGCCGCAAGTCCTTGGATCCAATTACCACTTTGCAACTTAACTGACTACCTTGCTTTGGAAATTTTTATGTTCTTCAGTCTCTACTTCCTTACCTAGATAACAGGCACAATGATAGCATGTCACTGGGTTTGTGGATTGCTAAATCACCTGCATGATATGATTATGTTTAAAAAAAAACCAGAAAGCTGAGGAAGCTCCTTTGAGGAGAGAAGCAGAATCCTGCTACCTAGTCCCAAGTAAAATGTAAAGTTTCTTTAAGATGCCTGCTCAGCATTCATATATCACTATGGTCAGAAACTCAGTATAAATGCAGGAAGGAATAAGTTCCCACTGCTATGGTCCAAGTATGCTTTGCATTGACTCAGACTCAATGTCAAAAATGCACTTCCACATTTTCACAGGGCTGGAGCAATGTCCAGAACACAGGGGGGCTCCTTAAGGGGTTCTTAGATCTTAGCACAGGGAGTATGTGGGCCACAGAAGCCGTTCAACTTAGAAAGCCCCTTCAGATATGACCACCTTCTTTGTGGAGAGGCATCTCCTAGAGATTCAAGTTCTGTAAGAGTTCAGGACAGAGCAACATGCGATAATATACAACAGTACGAGTCATAGATGGTGGCCCCAAACCAGGGGAATCCTGTCAGGAAGGGGTATTATATAGATCCTTACTCCCTGAGACCAGTCAGACACAAATCACCTTCTTCTACTCATTGGATCCTTTCCAAAAACTACCACCTCTCCTCATTTAAGAGGGAAAGCAACTGAGCCCAAGCTATTACAGGAAGCGCTTGATGAACTTTAACCCTGAGTAAAGAATGAAGCAATATTCACTGGCCTTGTTTTGGGTTTTGAGGTTTTTTTAAATCTTATTCTGTACATTACCCCTGTGGTGGTTAGCGTTATTGCCTCTGCCTAAATTCACAATCTTAAAACCCTGCTAACCACTTCTATTTCTTCTCTCACCTCATCTCTATTTTCTAACATCTAAATGTTTTATATTTATAATACTGAAGTGAGAATCCTAAGTGTTGTGTTGTATCCAGTCAACTCAGAAACAAGTATCTTCATAGCAAAAAAAAAAAAAAAACCCTAGAAATAGAATTACTATACTATATTCTGTAATTCAGAAAGTAACCATTTTCAAGCCAGGTAACTACCTAGCTACTCAGGAGGCTGAGATCTGAGGATAGTGCTTCAAAGCCAGGCCAAGCAGAAATGTCTACAAGACTCTTATTTATGACTCACACCTACATCTATATGCTGAATTAGAACCTAAAGAACATTTTCCCTCTGCTGACAGGTCCACAGATACCAGAGACCCTGAGACTAATGGTATTTCTGCTACAGAAATTATAGATCATAAATATTATCATGAAACTCATTCACTTTATCCAAAAGTACGTAAGAGGCCATTCATTCTTCACAGTGTGAAGGAAAACAGCACAGATTGATATTATCCAGTGAAATTGTTCAAATAACCAGTTCCCTCTCATTTCCTCTGAGTCATTTTACAGACATCAACTTAGGCTTTTCAGCCTTGTTTTTATTTCTAGGATTAACCTTTTTTTATAATCTGTCAAGTACATAGTAGATAAGATAAGGAGACTGAGTCGATACCCATAATTGGGTGATATTGTTTTTAATAAACTGACATGGTGATTGCATGTCTTGTCACAAAGAAGGGCATGAGTATATGGGGCTGGTAGAGTGCTTGCCTTGCATGCATGAGGCCTTGGGTTCGATTCCTCAGCACCACATAAACAGAAAAAGCTGGAAGTGGCGCTGTGGCTCGAGCAGTAGAGCACCAGCCTTGAGCTGAAGGGCTGAGGGACAGCACCTAGGCCCAGAGTTCAGGTCCACAACCGGCAAAAAAGAAAAAAAAAAAAAAAAGAATCTCATGGGATTTCCTATCTGGGCTGGCTTTGAACTGGGATCCTCCCTTCTCAGCCTCCTGAGTAGCTTGGAGTATTATAACAATGAGCCACAGGCACCTAGCTGATCCTTTTTAAGATGAAGTTTCACTAGTTGGCTAGGTAATAAAATCAGCCTTTCCCACAAAGAATCCAGTTTCACCCTATTATCATGCTAATGTTGAGCATGAGAAGTCTTAGGTTCCTTTGTTCTAACTGCCACCAGGGTGTAAATGATGATCTGAGTCAACAGGAGATGCTGAGCTTCTCTTACCCATGAAGACAAAACCTCCAGGGGCCTGCAGCTTAAATAACATTAACCAGTGTTGACCCCTAGTATCAGGGAGACACCATGCTGGGGTGCTGTGTGGATTATAGCCATTTGCACATGGAGTCCTGGCAGTAAGTCTTCATTCTGCAAGGGAGCCTGACCCTCCTAACTTGTAGAGTTTGATCCTTCAGATGTGGCTATCATCTACCTTCATTTTCTCATTTATTACTAATAGGGACTCTGGATTCTGTTCCACTAGAAATCAGCAGGTGTCAGAAGTCATCAGGACATATTCATTTCCGTTCCTCTTATCTCTTTTTCTTTTTCTTTTGGTCGGCCGTGGGGCTTGAACTCTGGGCCTGGGCGCTGTCCCTCAGCTCTTCAGCTCAAGGCGAGCACTCTACCACTTGAGCTACAGCGCCACTTCCGGTTTTCTGGTGGTTTATTAGAGATAGGAGTCTCACGGTCTCTCCTGCCCGGGCTGGCTTTGAACCGCGATCCTCAGATCTCAGCCTCCTGAGTAGCTAGGATTACAGGCGTGAGCCACCAGCGCCCGGCTCCTCTTATCTCTTCACCATGGGCTGGCCACGGTTCCATCTTCAGAGTTGCCTCCAGATTCTGAGCTGTAAAATATTCTTCTTTCATCTTTCCATTCCCTATTATCTTAGCTTCTGACATGTGATATTCAAATAATTATACTCCCAATTCACTGTCCACTTAAGTCTGTAGCTTACCAGCCTGATCTCAGGAAGAACTGACTTAGAGAACAAGGCTGTGGGAGAAAATAATGAGTAGTATCTTCCTGAAGCTGTTGGGTCCCTGCTCCCACATGTCTGTGGAACCCAATGCTCAAAAGTCTTGACCGAAAAAATGAGAGGTCAAAGAAATGAGGAGATAAGGTCTCTCAAAAGTTCACTCAGCTAGGAAGACACGCAGCCACAAAACAAACCTAGTGATTCACAGCCTCGTTTGTTATTCCATAAGTATTTGTAAGTACAACTTAGTTCCTGACTAATTTCCAAATACTGCCCTATATTTTTATCCTGATTTTAATTTTTTTTTCCTGTCTGTCAGTTCTGGGGCTTGAACTTGACAGTGCCTGGGCACTGTCCTTGAGCTCTTTTACTCAAGGCTAGCGCTTTACCACTTTGAGCCACAGCTCTACTTCTGATTGTTGAGTGGTTAATTGGAGATAAGAGTCTCACCAGGACTTTTCTGCCCAGGCTGGCTTCAAACTGCCATCGTCAGATCTCAGCCTCCTGAATACTGTACCTGGCTTGGTTTTTGGTGGTTGTTGTTGTTTGTTGTGTTGTTGTTGTTTTTAAGGTACTGGGGTTTGAATTTGGGGCATCGTGCTTGTTGGAATTGCTTGCTTAGACTGTACCACTTGAGTTATACCTCCAGCCTGGCTTTTTGCTGGTTATTTTAAAGGTGAAGTCTCACAGACTTTTCTGCCCAGACTGACTCTGAACCTCGATCCTCTAACTCTCAGTTCTGTAAAGTGGCTAGGATTACAGGTATGATCCACTAGCTCAAGACTTCATCTTGATTTCTAGAATGAAGGCGTGTGTCTGCTGCTCCACATTTATGCTGTTTTCTCAATGCAGCAATCATTTTCTGGGTTATCAGTTGCAAAGGCATTTGGAGGTTTGGCTTTGACAAGATTCAACCTTGTCAATTGTTCATCTATAGGGTTAAAAGACATATTTTTGAGAGATCTGCTATCTCTCATGAGAGTTATTGTGGCTAGGTGTCACTGGCTTCACCTATAACCCCAGCTACTTGGTATCTGCAATATATCACAAATACTGTTGTTTCTGCATGTGATCAATATTAAGAAATAATAACTACTGGGACTGGAAATGTAACTGGGGTAGAGTGCTTAGCCTGCATGTGCAAAGCCCTGCTCGGTCTCTACCACTACAAATAGAAATGCATGCATATGGAAACAAAGCTTTCAAAGGCCTTTTTTTAATAGGCTCACTCAGCACTGCAATTTGAACTCAGGGTTTTGCACTTGTTCCACTTGGACCATGTCTCCAACCATTTAAAAGTTACTGTCTGGGGATGACACTGTTCAAAAAGAAATGTACTTGGCAAAGCAACACATGAGGAAATGTTCACCATCCCTGGTTGTAAAGGAAATGCAAATAAAGACAACCTTAACATACCACCTTATCCCAGTCAGAATGGCCCACATCCTCAAGTCAGCCAAGGACAAATGTTGGAGGGCATGCAGAGAAAGAGGAACCCTATTACACTGCTGGTGGGAATGTACACTTATACAACCACTTTGGAAAGCAGTCTGGAGGGTCCTCAGAAAGCTAAAGATTGACCTCCCTTATGACCCAGTCATACCACTTCTAGGCATCTATCCTGAACAACAGGAACCAGGATACAAGGACACATGCACCTCCATGTTTATTGCAGCACTGTTCACAATAGCCAGGATATGGAAACAACCCAGATGTCCCACCACAGATGAATGGATCCAAAAACTGGTATCTATACACAATGGAATATTATGCAGCCATTAGAAAGGACAAAATAATGGCATTTGCAGGGAAATGGATGGAGCTAGAAAAAATCATGTTGAGCGTGGTAAGCCAAGAGCAAAGAGACAGAGACAAACTGCACATAGTCTCCCTGATAAGTGGATGTTAAATCCAAAACGTAAGGTGATACGTCAAAATTAACAAGGCTGAAGAAACAAAGGACTTCCACTCATCTGGTCGAATCACTACTAAATAACCTCATGCTGCTGATCACATATATGATATATATGTGCACACCGGAGGGAAACCAGGAGGAGGACACAGAACTAGAGGGAATCAGGGAAAAACATACAACAGCAGGACCCATCAGCTGCACTGGACATTGATCAAAACGAACTAAGCAACTCAATGGCAGTGATGGGAGGGAGGGAACCAGTGGGAAAGAGGGAACAGCTGACGCTATGCAAAACAACAGAAATGTACATATCACCCAATGTGGAAGAAATAACTGTATCGCAAAGCTCATAGAACTCACAAATGTTACAGACCACGATAGACAATTTGCCCCATGAAAGTTAGAATGTGTTTGTGACTTTAACTAAGCATCACTATCCCACAATACTGTGAAATTTGGGAAGTTATGTAATCACTTAATCACAATAAAGAATTTGGAAAAAAAATAAGAATACAGATTACTTAGCTCTTGGAGCTTCGCAAGTGCATTACTATTATAAAATCCTTTTCAAATGTCAAGTGTCATGTAACTACTTGGTCGTAAAGTATTTGATTAGTATGCCAACTACACTATTGACACTGAATGCTCTCTTAAATATGGAATGCATTATTGGATTTCCTAAGCAATAAACAAGTTTGTTTTGTTAAAAAAAAAGAAATGTACTCATTACCTGACTTATGTAAGTGTAACCCCTCTGTACATCACCTTTATGACAATAAAAAAATATAAAAGTTACTGTATGTGTGTCGTGTGACATTCACACATGTGTACTCTTTCAATTCAAGCTGGGCATGTAGCACTCACTTGCAGTCTTAGCATCTAGGAGGTTAAAGTAGGAAGATCATATCTTTGAGACACCAACCTGAGCACATCTCAAGATTCCTCACAGAAGAGGAAGAAATGGAGGAAGACAAGGAGGAGGACAAAGAGGAAGAGAAGGAAGAGAAGGAGGAGGAGTAGAAGGAAGTGGAAGAGAGGAGGAGGAGGAAGGGGAGGAGGAGGAAGAAGAAGAAGAAAGTGTTAGGAATGAACATGAATAAAGTACTTTATATACACATACAGAATTTTTAAAGATGAAATCTCAAGTCACTCTAGCCCCTTCTCAAGCGGTCACTCTAGTGTTTACAAGTGCCACCTGAGGAAACAATCATATTGGATGGCATAGGTCTGGATGGAGGATCTCCATTCGTGACCCTTAGAACACTGTGACAGGAATGGAAAGCTTCATTATACAAACATCTGTCCAAATGGCTGGAATCACCATCATAACTGGACAACCTTCCACTCACAGAGGAACACAGTAATTTCCTGTCTATTGCATGCTCTGTGCGGCCGCTGCGGGCGAAGGGTTCATCACCAGCTTACCTTGTGTAGTTTTCTTTGTATCCAGAAATGTCATTATTGGGAGAGCGCAGTTGGCGCTGAGACGGCGCCTCCAGATGCCAATAGTTGATGCGGTTTAGGAACATCTTTGCCAACTCAATGATTGTTTGCCTTTCTTTGGAGGGCAGGTGGCAGAATTTGTACTGTACAAAGTTATTCACACCCTGAAACGGAGAGCAAATTATTCTTGAAGCTATGCAATCACATGATTCTAAACACCTGCGTCTATAACCAGCATCTATAACCACTGGGGTTATCACTAAAGAACAGATTTTTTTTTTTTTAATTCACCAAGTTTTCTCCTCTGGCCTTGAAAGGAAACAACTATGTCCTGAGAGAATTGTGCCTGAGGTCAGTGTAGAAAAGAGATCAAGATAGAAAAAACTAGGAGTGGTTATTCTGTGTTTGCTTCAATCCTGAGGCATTAAAGCAAAAATAAAAACCAAGAACTATCTGGGCACTAGTGGCTCACACCTGTAATCCTTGCTACTCAGGAGGCTGAGCTCTGAGGATTGCAGTTTGAAACCAGACTAGACAGAAAAGTTGGTGAGACGCTTATCTCCAATTAACCACCAAAAAAACCTGAAAGTGGAGCTGTGGTAAGTGGAAGAGCACCAGACTTGAATAGAAAAGCTAATGAACAGCACTCAGGCCCTGAGTACAAGCCCCAGTACAATCTTTTAAACAATAAATTGCTGGGCACCAGTGGCTCATGCCTATAATCCTAGCTACTCAGAAGGCTGATATCTGAGGATCATGGTTCAAAGCCAGCCTGGGTAGGAAAGTCCATGAGACTCTTATCTCCAATATACCACCAAAAAAAACCAGAAATGGCACTGTGGCTCAAGTGGTAGAGTGCTCACCTTGAGCTGAAGAGCTGAGAGATGGTGCCCAGGTCCAGAGTTCGAGCCCACAACCGACAAAAAGAAATAAAAGTTAAAAAAATAAATTATAGCTCTTCTGAAGAATAAATCCTACTACCAGCAGAGTCATTCACATATAATGCAGTTCTTGGATAATTATAAAGCTTTTCTTTGTAAAAAATTTAATCAAAATTTTATCTTCTGCTGAACTAAACAAAATTTCTAGCCCGGCATGGTGACACACATCTGTAGTTCCAGAACTCAGGAGGTGAAGGCAAGGAGAGTCTAGCTCCAGGCCAGCCTAAAGTACATAGCTAGACCTTCTCTCAAGAAAATTAAAAATAAAAATAAAAAAAATAAGAAAAGGAAAAAAAAAGAACGTTAAAACCAATACATAAATAAATAAACAAACCACACCTACCCATGAACTGAACCACTACAAATTTAAAACTTTATTATTAATCATATCAGAAGAAAAAAAATCTTATACCAAGTTAAGCACTTTTTCTTTCCTTTTTTTTGTTGTTTGGGGAGGGGGAGGGTCTGGTCGTGGGGCCTGAACTCTGGGCCTGGGCGCTGTCCCTCAGCTCTTCAGCTCAAGGCGAGCGCTCTACCACTGGAGCTGCAGCGCCACTTCTGGTTTTCTGGTGGTTTATTGGAGATAGGAGTTTCACAGTCTCTCTTGCCCGGGCTGGCTTTGAACCGCGATCCTCAGATCTCAGCCTCCTGAGTAGCTGGTGAGCCACCAGCGCCTGGCTTGTTAATGGCTTTTTGCACTGAATAAAAAATATATTTTTTCTAGCCCTTATATATTTTAATTGCTGAAAACATTTTATTAAATGAATATGCTATAATTATAGCAATAGTGTTTATACATTCTATAATTTTTTTTAATTGGTCATGGGGCTTGAACTCTGGGCCTGGGCGCTGTCCCTGCGCTCTTCAGCTCAAGGCGAGTGCTCTACCACTTGAGCCAAAGCCCCACTTCCGGTTTTCTAGTAGTTTATTGGAGACAAGGGTCTCACAGACTTTCCTGCCCAGGCTGGCTTTGAACCACTATCCAAAGACTTCAGTCTCCTGAAGTAGCTGGGATTACAGGCATTAGCCACCAACGCCCAACTACATTCTATAATTTTGACATTGTCTTTTGTGCATTTATATTCACTTTGCATAAAACTGTGGAAGCTATAAAATTGAAAATTTATTGACAACTGATATTGTCTGCATGCAGTTCACTTGGTACTGATCTTGAGATATTTTCCTAACCATTAAATGGCTAGAGAACCAGCATGGTAGACACTGCATGAGGATGTTAAGATCACATTTTAAGTGCCCATTTGTAAGCTGCAGATTTCCATATGAATTTCACGTTGATGACTGAAGGTCTGCTTGTGAAGTTCACCTGCTGAACCCCTACAAGCTGTAAAACAGAGTTTATAGGTTTGTGATCCAACCTATTCTTATCACGATGTATAAAATGGATGTTGTTACCTAGAAGAGAATAAGATTAAAATGCTGAGGTTGCATATTAAGTATTATTCATTAGATTTATTGCTTATCGGAATGAAAGAAGCTTTTCAAATTTTAATTGGTCCAAAGGGACCAATATCATCTTCACTAGTGTCACAATAATTTTAAATTATGGCAATAAAGCATGACAAGAATAGAGTTAAATAAGTTATTTAATGCATTATGAGTTCTAATGGGAAAGATTCTTGAATTGTAACAGTGTGTTAGTCTTATTAAAAACAGTTGAATAAAATGTGCTGTCAAACGAGCAACATATGGAATGTAGATGTAAGCTCAAAAATTACATCTACCATTTAAATGGAAGAAATCACTTCCTTCAAAAAAAACACTACCAGGGATAGAAGGCTTGTGTAGCACTCAGCTCCCTGGGTTTGATCCCTAGCACTACAAAACAAATGGAAGCAAAACAGGACAAATACTCCTAAAAACTTATTTACTTTGGTGCCAGTACTAGGGCTTGAATTCAGAGGCCTTGTGTTCTCATTTGGATTTTTGCTTGTAGTTGGTACTCTTCTACCTCAGCCATGCTTTCAGTCCAACATTTTCTGTTGTTGTTGTTGGTCATGGGTTTTGAATTCTGGGCTTGGGCACTGTCCCTCAGCTCTTCAGCTCAAGGCCAGTGCTCTACCGCTTGAGCCATAGATCTACTGGTTTTCTAGTGGTTTAGTGGAGATAAGAGTCTCACGGACTTTTCTTCTCCACGCTGGCTTTGAACCGTGATCCTCAGATCTCAGCCTCCTGAATAGCTAGGATTACAGGCGTGAGCCACCGGTGCCAGGCTCAGTCCAACATTTTGATGTCTACTTGGAAGCAGGGACTCTCAGATTTTTCTGTCCAGGCTGGCTTCAAACTAAGATTCTCCATGTCTCAATTTTATAAGTAGTTAGGATTATAGGTGTGTGCAACTAGCACTTGGCTCCAAATACTGATTTATTAAGTTGTTTATAAACCTACCCCAAAACAGGTTAAAAAATAAGGCATTAAGAAAGTCAGTTATTTACACTTAAAGGTTCACAATCCCTGTGTCTGCTCAAATAACTGACAATTACAGTTTATGTTCTGTTGTTTTTGATTCTTAGACTCAAAGCCAGATACTAACTATAGATTAAGTTGTATGTTTTCTTCATTGTATTCATTTGCCACCTATAGTAAATCACTAGATTGGATACCAGAAGTTGAGTTATGATCAAATAAGGCAAAATGAAATACTAGGTTAGCCAAGATGCAGATTTGTGTACACATGTACTCTATTCTTTGGAGGGGTTACATTTTTTCAATGTGTAGCAAAAAGGATACAGATTAGTGTATACATGTACTCTGTTCTTTGGAGGAGTTACATTTTTTCAATGTGTAGCACAAATATATTCTCTTAAATATGTTTCCAACTTGGCAATCAAGTAGCCTACTCTAGGAACTAAAGTGGCTCAGGTGCTAAGGTGGTTCAGAAACTTGGAAAGGACTCAAAACATAACCTCTTCTGTGGATAGACATTAGTCATTCAAAAATAAGCCTTTAGGGGCGGAGCATGTACTTCTGCAGTAGAGCACATGCATGGTATGCAGCAAGTTCTGAGTTCAAGTCCTAGGACTGCAAAAGGAAACAAAAACAAAATCCAGGAGAAATGGAGGCAGGGCCTGCTTATGCTCTGTGACCACCACCTCCCCCGCCCCCAGTTATTATTATAATGTCTGTTTCTTTGATTTTCCTTTCTGTTTTTTCTTCTGGTCTCAAACCAGGACTTGAACTCAAGACTTGCCATTTTCACTCATTGACTAGTGCTCAATAGACCGAACCACAATCTCCAACAATTAGAGATACTTGAACTCTGGTTTGGGTGCTGTCCCTGTGCTCCTTGTATTACAGGCTAGAACTCTGGCATTTGAACCTCAGCTGCACTTCTGGATTATTGTCATTAATTTGACATAAGAGTCTCAGACTTTTCTGCCCAGGCTGGCTTCAAATGGGAACATTCAGATCTCAGTGTCATTAGTAGCTAGAAGTATAGGTATGAATCAACTGCACCAGCAATCCAGAGTTTTTTGTTTTGTTTTGTTTTGTTTTTGTTGCTTTTTTTACTTTTTGATTTTGGCTTTTGGTTTTTGTTTTTGCCAGTCCTGGGGCTTGAACTCAGGGCATGAGATCTGTTCCTGAGCTTCTTTTGCTCAAGGCTGGTGGTCTAACACTTGGGGCAAAGTGCCACTTCTGGCCTTTTCTGTTAAGTGGTACTGAAGAATCGAACCCAGGGCTTCATGCATGCAAGGCAAGCACTCTACCACTGAGCCACTTTCCCAGGCTCACCACATTGACTTTCTTATTTCAAATTTTTACCAACTCTAATTTGGAATCCACTGAAGGGAATTTGGAAATATTTTCCTCCTCATTAAAGTAATGAATAACAAGCCACTGTACCAACTTAACTATACAAATGGAAGTTGAACCCCTGGAATTAAAATCTTAGCCCATTTGTTCTCTTCCTTTTGTAGCCTGATTCTTTTGTTGTTGTTGGCCATGGGGCTTTAACCCGGGGCCTGCGAACTGTCCCTGAGCCCTTTTGCTCAAAGTTAGTACTCTATCTTATTGATGCGAATTACCTGGTGAACAAGAAAATCCACCTAGGCACAGTTAAAGGTTAAAGGAGTTTTATTTATTTATTTATTTTGTCTGTTGTGGGGTCTGAACTCTGGGCGTGAGCATTATCCCTCAGCTCTTATGCTCAAGGCTAGCACTCTACCACTTGACACTCAGTGCCACTTCCAGCTTTTTCTGCTTATGTGGTGCTGAGGAATCAAACCCAGGTCCTCATGCATGCAAGGTAAGCACTCTTCCACTGAGCCACCTTCCCAGCCCTCTCCCAACTTTACTAGAAACAAGGAACTTGCACCTCACCCAGTAGTATCTTTCCTTAGAGCTTCCTAAAAGTTGCTGGATTCCCATAGGTCCTGTTTCTGAAGAAAAAGGGGCTCTTACAAGTTATTGGTGGCCATGGAGGAATGCCTGACACAGACAACCTACCTGGAGCCTCACTGCAAGAAGAGTGAAAGATTCTGGCAAAAAGAACCAGCGAATGATTTTGGCCTCTGGTGAAAACAGAAGTGTTCACCCTCTTCCTGGCCATTGTGTAGGTTCTAAGCAATTGAGATTTCTGTCTCACTCATGTAAAGTAAACATACCCAACAGGCTGCATCTTTTTCCCTTACAACCCTCTGTGGGCCTCAGACAGCTTTGAATGCTGGAAAATGAGTATGAGAATAGGTCATTGGGCCATGTCTCCCTTCCACTCCTTGACTTGTAAGTACTGAATCAAGCAGATCTTGATACGCTATGGGACTGGTCAGCTTCTCACTCTCTCAAACAGCTAGACTCACTTCTGTCCTTAGAGCTGCCAGATGACTTGAGAAACTACCCTGGCAACCAGGATCTTGCACTCATCTTGTGAGTGCTGCTTCGCTGCCAACTGAACCGTAAGCACAGGGATTGGGGTTCCTGCTACTGTTTCTGGGGAATGTGAATGAAATCCCTCTGATGGGGCATGAGACCAGAACCTGTGGTTGTCTGAAGAAGTAGATCCTTAATGGCCAGTATTCATACCTGCATTTTGTGGTCCCATTCCCAAAGAGGAATGCATACTAGGGGGCAGGTAAAGCAAGTCCTGTGTCAGAATAAAGGAGGAAGAGGCCCTGCTACCTCAGTGCCCAGACAAGTCTTGAACATCAATCCCTTCAGTACTCCAAACATCACTTTGGTACTAGGACAATTTTTTAACATCTGAATCTGGTTTACTTTCTCTTCAAACTGCTATTATGCTACTGGCATGCTATTGAGAGACTGCTAACTTTAAAACTAGGCCAGGGAAAATAAACAACATTGGCACTTGTCATCCTCCTGTTCAAAATAATAGGAACACCATGAATTTGAAACTCCTCTTGAGCACCAGTCCTATGTTGCTAAGATTAAATCCTTCTGGCCAATTTTATATTTCAAATATATTGAAAGAATAAAAGGGATTCTAAAGAATAAGGACTCAAGAGTACAAAATGTATACTTCTTTATTTATATAAATAGGGCTTTAAAATAATACTATTTAAAAGAAATCTGCCTTTTTTCATTCACCATCATTTAGTTCCTGACCGGAAAGGCTGTGCATGATGATACACAGCAGGAACCTCAATGCATGACAACAGGATCTCAGGAAAGCACCATTCATTTGAGAAGTAGTAGGCAGGCTCTGACAGTCCTGTTGCACTGCTACCAATGGGAAGTCTTAAACTTCTTCCTCCACCAAGTCTTCTTCAATGTCACACCGTTCATAAGCAGTGGCATCTTGGCACTGCTGGTACTCGGACACCAGGTCGTTGATACTGCTCTCGGCCAGAGTGAACTCCATCTCATCCATGCCTTCTCCCGTGTACCAGTGCAAGAATGCCTTGCGCCGGAACATGGCACTGAACTGCTTTGCGGTGCGCTTGAAGGGTTCTTGGATGGCTGTGTTGTTGCCGATGAAGGTGGCCGACATCTTAAGGCCACGCGGGGGGATGTCACATACAGCTGTCTTCACATTGTCGGGAATCCAGTCTGCAAAGTAGCTGCTGTTCTTGTTCTGCATGTTGATGATCTGCTTATCCACCTCCATCATGGACATGCGGCCTCGGAAGATGGCAGCTGCTGTCAGGTAACGACCATGGCGGGGATCACAGGCGACCATCATGTTCTTGGCGTCAAACATCTCCTGGGTGAGCTCCCGCACTGAGAGATCACTGTACTGCTGGCTGAACCGGCTGGTCAAGGGTGCAAAGCCAGGCATGAAGAAGTGTAGGCGAGGAAAGGGGACCAGATTCACGGCGAGCTTGCGCAGATCTGCATTCAGCTGGCCGGGGAAGCGCAGGCAGGTGGTGACTCCACTCATGGTGGCTGACACCAGGTGGTTCAGGTCTCCATAGGTGGGTGTGGGCAGCTTCAGTTTGTGGAAGCAGATGTCATACAGGGCCTCATTGTCGATGCAGAAAGTTTCATCTGCATTTTCCACCAACTGGTGGATAGATAAGACTGCATTGTAAGGTTCTACCACGGTGTCTGAAACCTTGGGGGAGGGCATGATGCTGAAGGTGTTCATGATGCGGTCTGGATACTCCTCTTGGATCTTGTTGAGAATCAGGGTGCCCATGCCTGATCCAGTGCCACCTCCCAGGGAGTGAGCCAGCTGGAAACCCTGGAGACAGTCACACCTTTCTGACTCCCGTCGTACCACATCCAGCACCGATTCTAACAGCTCGGCTCCTTCCGTGTAGTGGCCTTTTGCCCAGTTATTGCCTGCCCCTCTCTGGCCTATCAGACATAAAGACATGATGAGACACACACTCCAAGAATAATGACTGTGCCTGTCCTATTGTGAAGACAAAGGAGTGTTCTGAGCCAACCTTTGCTATTATTTTAGATACACTATGGTGAAATAAAGGAAATGTTTCCAATGTATCTGGGACCCTACAAATCACCCAGGTTCTAAAGAAAAGTAGAGAGTGTGGAGGAAAATACATTTTAACCCAAATCAAGTACTTCTAGAAATGAAGAACTGAGCCTGCCTCAATACTGGAAATGTAATTACTTTCACAACAGGGACAGGAGCACAGTGTGGTCAGAGGGAAGCTAAACTGCAAGCACTTGTCTGCTCCTTGCTCACACATAGCTGTGCTTTGATTTCTGGTGTCCTGAAGTGGTTCTATTATTGCCAGGCCTTTAAAATGACCAGCAGTGCTGAAACCTTGTTGGTGGCTTTCTCTGCTTGCTGCTCTTTCCCTTCAGAGGCTTCTTTGTCATGGAGAACTTGCAGAGTTGCACTGATCTGAGCTGTCTGAGTGGCCAGGGGCATGACTTCCATGGACTGGAATAGGTGGGTTAGCTGAGGACAATATCTAGGTGGATAAAGGCTCAGCCCAGCACTGGAGTGCCTGGATGTTAGGACCCATGGACCATGATGACATACCATATATGAAGTTGTCTGGATGAAAGATTGGGCCAAGTGGTCCCGATCTTACTGAGTCTAAGGAGCCAGGCTCTAGGTCCACCATGATGGCCCGAGGAACATATCTGTTGCCTGTGAGAAAAAGAGTTGACTTAGGCCTATACTTGACAAGGAACTAAGGGCAGAGCTTATGATTCTAAGTGACTCTCAGCATTCATTACAAAAATTACAGCATTTGAGACATGGAAACAGAAAAGATATCTTGAGCATGGATCCCCATGCAAGAGGCTTCAGCAAGTTTAAGGATGTTTGCAGTTGTCTATTTCCATGAATATTCATTCCTTTGCTTTGGGCATGGTGGCTGAAATCTCAGCTACACAGGAGGCAAAGATGAGCATCAGGCTTTGAGTCTAATGGTGCAAAAGAAAGGTGACAACACCTTTTTTTTTTGGTTCATCGTGGGGCTTGAACTCTGGGCCTGGACACTGTCCCTCAGCTCTCCAGCTCAAGGCTAGCACTCTATCACTTGAGCCACAACCCCACTTTCAGTTTTCTTATTGGAGATAAGAGTCACAGGGACTTTCCTGCTCAGGCAAGATTTGAACCATGATCCTCAGTTCTTAGCCTCCTAAGTAGCCAGCATTACAGGAATGAGTCACCAGTGCCTATCAGCAAGAAACTTCCTCTTTTTTGTTAATTTTATTTTATTGTAAAGGTGCTGTATAGAGGAGTTGGTTACATGAGTAAGGAAATGAGAACGTTTCTTGTCAAAAATTGTTAGCCCCCTCCTTTGTTGTTCTCCCACTATCCCTTCCCTTCCCAAATTACCTTTCTCAAGAAATGAACCAGGTTCATGCCTGTAATCCTAGCTACTCTGGAGGCTGAGATCAGAGGATGACTATTCAAAGCCAGCTGGGGCAGGAAAAGTCCTTAAGACTCTTATCTCTAATAAACTAACAGAAAACCAGAAATGGCACTGTGGTTCAAGAGGTAGAGCTGCTTGCCTTGAACTGAAGAGTTGACGGACAGTGCCTAGGCCCAGAGTCCAAGCCACATGACCGACCCCCCCCCCCCCCCGGGCCAAAAAAAGCCAGGTATGGCTATTCACCAAGTAGATGTAAGGGAATTCAAGTGTAAGGCTTTCCTGGAGAAAACATATATACAATATATATATTTCTTGTCTTATAATGTTTCAATAATGGTTATCAAATAGCACATACCCTTTATTCAAATACTCAGAGCAACCTTGGGCAATGACTTGAAATTTCCCATTTAACATGATTTGGCCCAAGGGAAAGCAGTTAACATGATGTAAACACCAGTTTTAGAATACCCCCTTCCTAAATATTCACATGAAGAAAACTGACCATCCTGCTGGATATACAGGATCTAATAAAGACACAACCTAAAATTCTGTTCATAGGAGTGACACAATCCAAACCAACCACTCTCAACCAAGGAATCAGAAGATTAAAACCTTGTATGTTACTTCAACAATATTAACACAAAATACCAAGGTGAGGACATCCCAAAATGTAGATCTATAAAACTCACATAAATTAAATAGCTTTGTAATTTTGTTTGTACTTGTTCATTGGATTAATACACAGGAAAGCCAATTATCCATGATTCTGTTTGTATACAATAATGTAGAATGGAAACTCAATATAAAATTAAATGAACTTTACATTGACAGTTACAAAAACTGAAAATCTACTCTGTAGACTTCAATTAGGCTGTTTATGTTAGGAAAGACAATATGAATCATTTAAAAGCCATGTTTACAAATTAGTATTGATTTTTTCTACATCACAAGAATGTTTTCTTACTTTAAAAACCTTAAAAATAATTTACTGTTGGCTAAGTATTCATATTCAAAATGCTCAAGACCAGAAATTTTATAGATTTCAGGGTGAGACTATGCTTTGTGATTTGGACTATTCTCATATATATTAGTGACTGAACATCCCTCTTTAAAATTTTTAAAATTTTCTTTTTCAAAATATTGTTTTAGAAATTTAATCTGTATTTTAAAGAGGCAATGTAACTGGGCTCTGGTTGCATAAGGGTGTAATTCTAGCTACTCAAAAATCTGAGATGAGACCTTAGCATCGCAGATTGAATTCAGCTGGGGCAGGAAAGGCTTGGAGACTCATCTCCAAGAAACTACCCAAAACAAAAGAAGCTCATAGTTAGTGCCCAGGCTTGAGCTTAGGATGATCAGCACACAACCAAATGGCATTGGATTATATTTTATCAATTGTTTTAGAATGCATATTTAGGCAGTCTCATTTTTAATTATGTGAAATGGGCTCACGCCTTTAATCCTAGCTACCCAGAAGGCTGAGATCAGAGAATCATGGTTCAAAGCCAGCCAGGGCACAAAAAGCCTGCAAGACTCTTATCTCCAATAAAACACCAGAAAACTGGAAGTGGCACTGTGGCTTAAGTGGTAGAGCTGCTTGCCTTGAGCTGAAGAGTTGAGCGACAGTGCCTAGGCCCAGAGTTCAAGCTCCATGACCGGAAAAAACAAATCCAGGTGTGGTTAGTCAGCAAGTAGAGGTAGGGGGAACTCAGGTATAAGGCTTTCCTGGGGTAATTCACAAGAGTATACTCAAAAATTAAAACAAAGTATCTGGTGGAGTGGCTCAGTTGGGTACAGCACTTGA